GCCAATCAGGCGCCCACCTTCGCGTAAAATCTTAGCGCCATGCGGTCAGAAACAGATTTATGTGGTCCCTTCAAAAAGCGATAGTTCACTTTATCTCATCCTGTAGTACATTTTTGTGGGCTGATACTGGAACACGTTCCCAGGCAGCACACCAATATTGGACCTATATTGGGCCAACAATGGCGAACGCTGGCTCCTGAGGTTGGTCCAACATTGGTATTCTGGCCGAGCGCAACTTCTTCCAATGTTGGCCTAGCCATTGGTACCAACGTTGGGCCATCGTTCAACCAATGTTCCAGCCATCATTGGCACCAACGTTGGGCCATTGTTCAACCAACCTTCCAGCCGTCATTGCCGCCAACGTTGGGCCATCGTTCAACCAATGATCCAGCCATCATTGGCACCTTTTTTAGGCCATCGTTAAACCAATATTTCAGCCATCGTTGGCATCCACACTATGTCATTGGCTATGCCAATTTTGGCTTTCACACTAATTCAATGGCTATGCCATCATTGGTATACAAGTTCAATCATTGAATAGGCCGTTATCGGCAGTCAAGCTGATTCATTGGCATGTCCCAGTGTTAATGCCATATCTTTAGTGCTGGCCATGCAATCATGGCAATGTGTTTAAATCCTGGTTATTCCAACATTGGGTTTTAAGAACCCCTGGCCTGTTTCTTATTAGCAGCCCACTGCAAGAAAAACATTCTGGGCACAAATGGCAAGGTCCTCCTATGCTTTGTCTGTGCACTATTTTATCTGGCGAGAAAATGACTATTTCAAGGTCAATTAATACTTTTTTCGGAACTTTTATTGAAAGGGGCTAGGGAGGAAGCTCAGCGGGGAGCCTATGCCTGGTCCTGGGGAAGGTCCTGGGGCGAGTCCTGGGGCTGGGGAGCCATTACGGCTTCCGAACGCCTCTTCCTTCAGCCTCCCCTGTCGCAAGACTCTGACAGCCACTTCAGCACCATTTTTAAGCTGCCGATTCTTCAATTGTTAGCTTCGCACTGATGGCATCTACGAAAAGATCCAAAGGTCAAAGATCAACGCTTTCAAACCCACATTGGACTCAGTAAAGCACACTCCCAAGCAGCACTTCAACAAATGTTAAGGTTTGAGTGTCCCCGAAAAAGTCCCTCGCTCACGACTTTTCAGTCCTTGCGGCGTAGCACCCGTGGTAGCCGATGATCAGGGGTGTACGACGTCAGGGCCGAGGTCCGGACGTAGTGACGAGGCAGTTGACCGATGGCCGAAGGCTTGAATCAGGCCCCGTACGCCGGTGGCAGCCTATGACCAGGTGTCCGCCAAGGTCTGGGCCGAAGGACGTAGCGACGAGGCAGTTGGGCGTTGGCCGAAGGCTTGAGTCAGGCTCAGAACGTCTGTGGCACGGAGTGGCAGCGGTTGTTCAACCGCGCCACGCATGCAGTCTTGTCCACCTCCGGAAGGTTGGCGCCCGGACTGCGTGAGAAGTGGGTTGTGGGTCGGGCCTCTTGACGTCTGGTCACGCCGACGGAGGTCCGGCCTGGTCGCGTCTGCACCGTCCTTTGTCAACCGCCCGAATCCCCTCTCGCGCTCCTCGCATGCCCCCACCTCGTCTTCTTCTTTCTCGTCCTCTTCGGCTGGTCGCGGGATCGCTCAACACACCGGACTAAGAACGTTGGTAGGCCACTGGCTAAGACAGGCAATTGGTGGCCAGCTTAAACCAATCGATTGCCAACTTTGGTAACCCGTTGGCTCTATTACAGCTTATATTTCTGAGGGCGTTGTCACTACCGTAGTCAGTACTGCAGTTGCCGTATTTTGTACGCACATTGAAGTCATTTTTGGGCAAGCAGGCATAATGCTCAGCTTCTTCTGTTATAGACCTTTCCAATGTTTACAAATCCACAGCTCAGCGTGCGATCTCTACAGCTCAGCGCGCGCGTGTGCATCGCTTCGGAAAGCGAGCAAATCACGCGCGATACGCACGAACACTGAAAATGAAACCGGCCAGCAGCCCTTTTCTGGAAAGGTCTATATGTTGCGTGATAACCTTTCTTTGCAGATTGAAATGCGCATCAGCTTTATGTCACCTCCTACCTCAAACATAGGGTGTTCGAGATGTTAATTCAACGCAATTTTTTATTCGTGAAGACATGTAATTGCTCAATCAGTCGCTGGATATTTGTTTAAGGTTTTATCTTTTTGCTAAAATTATGAGTGCTTTTTATTTTTTTTTTAAATTTTGTCCGGTTCAGTCTGAATTATAGGCCGCGTTTTGCGGCTCAGCAAAGCGGGTTGCCTTGAGATCTTCAAGATCACATACAGCTGACAATACACCCGTGTCCTAGGTTGGGGAGGCGGGTGGAAATTTCGGAGTTGAACCCTGCCTCCCTTCCCCCCCTCTTTGGAAAGGTTTCCCGGCTGCGTCGCTAAATGGGCATAAGAGAAGAGGCACTATGCTTTTTGCCGTATAAACATATACACAAATCGAAGGAAGCGTGCATTTTGTATTTTGTGTGGAATTTACTAAGCATAACTATATCAGTTTTGGGAAGACGCGTGTTAGTTATAGTCGATGACAGGTGGTAGAAGCTCCTCCCATCTCTTTCCATATTTGTAGATCGAAAGATCAGGAGGAGTCGACCTCCTCCCCAGCGTTTATTTTTAACCTGTCACCGAACACGGTTTTTTTCTGCGTGGACGTTCAAACTTGCTACAGCTCGCAATGCTTAGAGCGTGCTAATTCAGTTGCTAACTTGCTCTGCGTGTGAAAACAGAAGAATCGTTCCCCCCGGAGGCATAGCTAGAGATTGTTCTCAGCGTGCGCGATCAGCACATTAAAAGAACTAAGCCAATTATATATAACATGGGTAAGCCACTGGCTAAGACAGGCCAATGTTGCCCAGCCTAAGTCAATCGATTACCAATGTCGGTAATTGATTGGCTTAAGCTGGCCAACATTGGCCTGTCTTAGCCAATCGATTACCAATGATGGCAACTCATTGGCTAACATAGACCAATGTTGGCCAGCCTAAGCCAATTGATTACCAATGTTCGTAACCAATTGGCTAAGACAGGCCAATGTTGGCCAACCTAAGCCAACCAATAACCAACGTTGGTAAGCCATTGGCTGAGGTAGGCCAATATTGGCCAGCCTAAGCCAATTGATTACCAACGTTGGTGAGCCGTTGGTCAAGTCAGGCCAACGTTGGCCAGTATATTCCAGTGTACCACCAATATTGGTTCTACGATGGCCATATTGGCCCAATATTGGACCATTATTTGTCAATTAAATACCAATGTTGGCCCGACGTCGTGTGCTGTCTGGGGTGGCTTGCAGACTGATACAATTCAGCCGCAGGAGAACACCATGCAGGGGGGGGGGGGGATCGGTGGCCGAGTGGGCTAGCGCACACCAGAGCCTTTTATACTGGGAGAGTTCGGCGGGTGGGAGGGGCTTACGGCCCGCTAGGTCTAGCGGACTCAGCGGGCGCCGCTTCCGCCATGATGTGCCTTCCGGCGAGTGGGTCCCCATTGACATGCGATGTATACGCGTGTAGGCTTTGCCGTTTGCGCTTTTGTTGGCGTAAGGAGAAAGTCGAAAAATCAAGCATTTTGTTACGTTAATCACACGTTAAGCACAAACTTACTTTGCACAATCGAGAACTCGGCTTCCAGTCAGCCCTTCTTGGTTTCCCAGATCTTGTGCCTTGCGCGGTTTTCTTTTCCTTGCAGGAACCGGTACATCCTGAACCCCTTTTTCGCGTTGTTCGAGCACCCAACGGCACTGCAGCCCCCCATTTCTTTTTCATCTAACGTCTGGCAGAGCGCAGCGCAGAACGATCATTTTCATCGTCGTCTCTCGCTCCATGGACTCTAGCGAGCCGACTGCCGGCTGGAGTCAGTAGGGCAAACGGGTTTTATCAGCCGCCACCAGCGTTAAGGCCCGTTCACACTCCTGCGACCGAGTACGACTGAGAGAGACGAGATCTCTTACAACTTCTTAAATGTTTCTAGAATGAGGGGACACACTGACATTGTGGCGCCATCTATGCGGTGACCCTAGAACTGCATTTCACAAAAGCGAAGGTTTTGCGGGATTTCCGAGGTCAAATGTGCGTAATACCCATAGAAAGGCTCGTTTATAACATTGACAAAAGTTTTTCGAGCCAAAAAAGAAAGGATATTGCGCGAGAAATAAAAAAAAATATGCCGGACCGCCGAGTTTACACTGCTTCCCAATAGATGGCGCCAGTGTGTTCTTTGGTTTAAGAAGTTTTAAGGAACCCAGGTTGAAGAGGTCGCAAGCAGTCGCAAGAGTGTGAACGGGCCTTTACACCAAACAAGGGTGAAGCTTGCAATTTAAGGTTATAATTATAATGCAATTAAATGCAAAGGTGCAATCAAGCTAGACGGCAAGGCACATCATGGCGGATGCGCACAGTTGCCAGACTGTTTGATCAGTGCTGCCAGACTGGCGGCTGGATCAAAGAACCGCCGAATCCTCCCAGTATAAAAGGCTCTGGCGCACACCAGCTCGGAGCACGTGGAGCGTAAAGCTCGAGCCGCAGAACCCAGGGATCCTGAGCTCAATCCCCACCCCTGCCCGTTTCGATCTGAATGAGCATCGTACCGGCGTGCGGTCATGTATCACTACTGCGTGGTGCACGTTAAAGACCCCAGGCTAGTGGTTGTACTGCACTGGCTAAATTTCTCATCTACAGCGAGTGACTCGTCGCAACTTTGAAATGACTTGACCAACTACACACTGTATAAGTATCCACACAACCCCAATTATTTTTAGAACACAGTCATTTGCCCTTGATCCCTTTTCGCTCTTTTTATGTGTTTACTAAGCGAACATTTTTTAACTGCAGTTAGTACAGGTATATTCCTCGTTGGGAAGCCAGCTGTGTTAGCACGCTGCAGCCTCGAACGAAGCGATCTGGAAGCCGTATGCAACCTACGTTTTGATCATCCGCTGTGCATCTCTGCCTATACACTAGCACACTGTTATGGCTCTCGCTTCGAAAACTACAATCTTTCTCTGGAGCCTTGGCGTATCTTTAGCTGCGAGTGTGGATATATTCAAAGAGTACAGCTTCACGACCAGAGTGAGTAATTGCCTTGAAGTACTTTATTTTCCACGTGAGGACAATCGAAATAGCTGAGGAAATTGTGGGGTCGTAACGTAAACACGACGTTTGTTACCAGTTTAATAGAAAATGCCAGTTTCAATCACTGGGGATGGTGTAGTTTAGATTGTTATTAAATAATTTAATGATCATTGGCTACACACGTATATATTAGAAAATACGCAGTGAATATTTTTTTTTTCTCGGCTATGGGGTTTGTTATAGGGGATAACCTGAGACCTCAGAGTATTTTCGTAGATCGTTTCCTACGTCCTGCAACGCTTTCTCTGACCAGGAACTCCGAAGACAAGGTTAGCGTCGCGCATGCGCGATGGCTTCGTCTCCGTTGCGGAGATCGTAGCGGAGGAAAAGGAAAACATAACACTCCGTAATAGTTTAGCGTTACACGCCGTAGATATGGCAGTTATTAGCAATATTTACTAACACGTATAAGTATTCAGTACATGCCATTGCTCAACCTGCTTCATTGTTAGAAGTACGAGAAAGCTCGACTAAAGCAATTTGTTTGCTTGTGAAATATCGATCTTGGAGTAAAGAAAATATAATGAAAAGCAGCAGGTAGGTTTACACTATGTCTGTTTTCAATGTTCATTTTCTTCTCTAGGTCGACCATTTTGCATATCATGACGAACGCACTTACGAGATGCGTTACTTCGTTTGCGACTTGTACTGGAAGACAGGCGGTGGTCCCGTGTTCTTCTACACAGGAAGCCAAGATTCAATCGAAGATTTGATTACAAAAACGGTACGAATGAAGCCACGTTCTGTTCGAGCGAAACTCAACCGAGTGCATTTATTAAAGTTCGAAATACCAAGTTTACAACCAACTAGGCGTGGATATAGAAGCTGATAAAACAAAACAAAAATATCACAGTTATAACACGGACGTTGTAGCACCAGCTTTCGGTATACGAGATAAGTGGGTAGCCTCAGGGAAACCAAAAATCATGAATAGTCATAGTATCATTAGCAGAATTGCTACCATACGATCCTTTCACATCGATATCATTCGGATTATTATTGGTTTATAATTTGTGTAGAACCTTCAAGTTTGAAACGGTCATGATACTTGCCATCATTCGTACGCATATTGAGCTGTGTACAGGTCTTGGTGCTGATCATTTCAGTATAATGTGTTAAGGCTGCAGCATGGGGTATTAGCACACTAAATTTCTTCATGATAGTAGAGAACAGGGGGTAAAAGGGAGAGATCGATGGCGAGCGCCTTAACGTACCGGAGCTCTGTGTACGTGGAGCGAAACCTCACGCTACAGAACAGAGGGTTCGATCCGCATCCCTGCTCCTTTCGATCTAGATAAGCATCGTACCGGCCTGCGGTTCGGTACCGTTACCGCGTTATGCGCGTTGAGGATCCCGGGCCAGCACACTCTAAAATAAAGCCCGAGCGTCTCCTGTTTCCCGCAAAACACTCGGAGAGTCAATCATTGCAACTTACAGAGGCAGCACAGCGAATGACAATGCCGAAATATGTGTTCAGACCAAAAAGCGCTGTCTGAGTTGTGACATTAAGCAATGCAAGCGTGACGTTTTGCATTGCTTAATGTCACAACTCAGACTGCGTTTTTTGGTCTAAACATATGTTTCGGCAGTGTCATTCGCTGAGCTCCATCCGTCAGTTGCGGTGATTGGCTCTCCGAGTGTTGTGCGGGAAAGTAGACGCACATTTTTAGAGTGCAGTCGTAATTCCCCTGGTTAAATTACTCTTGGAAAGCAGAGACAACAGACGCCCATTGGAGCTGACTAACCCCCCGCTGTCCAAACACCCACAGACCTAACTTAATGACTTATTAACAAACAATATTTATCGAGTTACTACTATTTATAGGAAATATAGTATATCATGTTTTGTGGTTCAAGGGTGTACTGCAGGAATGGGCGCCCGATTTCAACGCCCTGGTCGTCTTTGCCGAGCATCGGTTCTACGGAGAGTCGTTGCCATTCGGAAACTCCGCCTTTCAGGTAAGGTACATGAGCTCTTGCATCTCTCGTTTTTTCAAGAATTTAAAATGGTACTTTTTGTTAAATAAAGAATAAACTGGAAATTTTAAGCATTCCCTTTGCCACAAATACGAAGTAATATACCACACTTCACTAAACAAGAAAAAAAAAAAAAGAAAGAAGAATGTTTCATTATCTGGCAGCTGCTAAGCGAGGTTTAATACGATAGTATATTTGGGATTTTTTGCATTTCTTCTGGCGTTCATCGAGCTCGGCACTTTCGCACTGCATGAGCGAGGCTCCTTTTTTTGTACCAATTATTTTTAAATTGATCTGGTCTATATAATTTCAATATCAACGATTCAGGATTTCCCGCTAAACTCTTGGGGTATATTGAATTTGTGAGCACCTGTATTCCGTTTTGCTATAAATCTGACCACAGCCAACGCCACATTTAGGGTAGGACTAATCAAGCTTCGCCCAACACGCATTGTCATGGCGCTCGTTGTCTTTGTGCGGCGTTTATTGTCATCGGCTAAACCAATCACGCAGAGAAAAAAAAGTGCGGGATCACTGCGCATTTATTGTGCATGATTGGTGTAACGGGGTAAAATAAACATACAAAGGTGATAAGGGCTCTGACGATGTACTTTTGGGGGTGATTGATTGACTCATTGGAATTGTGGGACTGGTTGCCGTCGGACAGGTGAGACGGAGAATATGTGTACTACACCAGGTAGGTTTTAATGCGTTTTTGTTTTGGAGAAGATACGCTTCCCACTAAATTTGGCGGGGAAATGAAATTGGTGTGTTTTTAAACACTAATTGGTTTTCTCGCTAAAATTGCCCGTCAAGCTGAGACAGTCGGACGCGCATTAATCTCACGGTTTGATGATCGTAAAAATGCTGTCGTATATAAAAAAAGAAAAAGATGAAGTACGTTTGTTCACATTATACACGTTTCATTATCATTAATCACGGTTAGGTGGTAAGCCGGGTGAGTAGGTGATCGTTGAAAGTTACGAAAAATAGCGCAAAAAAAAGAAAACGAACACTCAAAAAAAAAAAAAAAGAAGAACAGCGTTTTTTTTTCTGTTTTTATTTTTTATTTGTGCAGTCTTTTTGTGGGATGCTTTACGTTTTGTTTAGTTATTCTAAACGATTCTTTCAGAGCCCCCAAAAACTGGGATATTTGACCTCCGAACAAGCCCTCGCGGACTACGCTGATCTCGTTTTGTACCTGCGAACAACGTTGCCTGGAGCTGCGAGATGTCCCTTCGTAGCATTCGGCGGAAATTATGGCGGAATGCTGGCAGCGCTGTTGAGAATCAAGTATCCTCACTTGATCGAAGCGTGAGTGTCACATTCGCAATTTTTCGTCGTCGACTTTTTTTATCAGGGCTTCGGAACACGGGTCTCTGTTCTAGATAACAAATTTAATTGCTGTAATTAACAGTATTTTAGGGGTGAGCATGGTTGGCGGGAGGAATTTTAACGAATTAACGTGGTAGGGTGTAGACAAGATTGAGTGGATATTTGCACCTTTCAAAATTTCAGATGTATTGAACGCGTTTTTTTTTTCCTTTCTCATACCGATTGTGCTTTAGCTTCTGGCACTGCCATTTTCTGTTCTTAATGTTAATGCATCGTAGTAATGAATCAATTTATCAATTGATTGAATTTGAAGTTTTTGCAATCAAGCCTGCAAAGACTCAAGTAGAAGAAATTAATAATAAAGCAATCAATTAAATGAACTGGTAAATAAATAATTAAATAAGTCCCTAAAATAAATACCTATATAAATAACATAATGACCAAAATACGAACATGTGTCCATTCTATATTTTACTTGTATGCTCGACAAACGTACCGCATCGTACGTTATGCACTTTATGTATGAGATACATAGATATGTATACTAATATCAAGCATCGGACCGTATCAATCAACACAATGACAAGTCACCACTTTTGACGTTACCCAATTGGTAGTCGCAAGGCGTTTCAAAACTGGGAGCGAGTCATGTGCTCTAGTTTTGAAGTTGTCGTACAGATTAAGGAATATAGAGCGTCTACTCTCCTCCAAGTACTTGGGAGAGCCTCTATTCTCAGGTTGGAGCGATTTGGTTTTCCGAATACTTTTGACATAAAGCAGACGCTAAGAGACATCTTCGAGTGCAGGAGTGTCCGTGTAATCGTTGAGGGCTGGAATGTAGCGCATCAAAGATGTAACATTTCACGATATTTTCAGCGCACTCTCAAGCAGCGCGCCGATGCGCATGTTTTCTGGGCTGACCCCATGTTCTGCCTATTTGCGGGCGGTTACCGAAGCATTTGAAAGGGAATCTGCTGCATGCGCGGCCGCCATTCGACAATCGTGGGAGTTGCTGGAAAGCACGGCCTCAACGAGTAAGTACCCGACACTTTCAACCCTTTGTCTTATGCGCGTCGTATAGGGTTCAGATGTACCAAACTGAACGTGTTCATCTGCATAGCAGATATCTTGCGTGGCTGCATTTGGTGTTTGCCAGTCGTGAGCCCAATGGTTAAATCGGAAGCCACCGCAAGCACGTTTATTGTTAACTTTACCAAACACCAATTATTTTATTTTCATTTTTGTAAACCATTTGCGGTCGACGCGACCGCAAAAGCTTTATTATCGTAGAAAAAATTAAGTTTTACTATTTCTCAATTTAAAAGAAGAATCTTATTCAATCAGAACTTAGTATAAATTCAAAAGAAAAACTGATTATGCGGTTATTTAATTTTGTATTAATCTCTTGTATTCGAATTAAAGAGTCAACGATGCTGCAAGCATTCATCCACCGATAATTAAGTGCCTTCTAGTTCTTTTTACACTGCCGCAGTTAATCGTAATCTGAACAGTGTTCATGTATTTGCTACAACATTTATTAAATGGCAATACATGTAAAGCAACATGCAATCGTAAGCACTTCTCGATTAAAATAAACCTCTTAGAGCATTCAGTAATGATGTTAATAAAGTAATCTGCACACTGGGAACAATTTGAAGTGGGGAAACTTTCAAAACACAACTAAACCAGAGCCGCCACATGGACGCATTTGCGAACGCATCAGCCGTTGATCCTGGAATGCTTGTTGGTCTCATTTTTGACAAGACGAGAGCTACGCTTTGAAATTTTAAAATGTAAAATGCACAACCGAAAATGCACATTCGATTAAAGTTTGTGCTTCTATGTGTAGATGTAGATTTTTCCGGCTCGTTTTTTAAAGCTAGGATCATCCGTGGCCACTCTGTGTGTGTAAAATTAATCATACTTTTTGTTTACAATGTTTTTATAGGCAGGGGACTCAGGGATCTACAGAAGACGTTCAATCTTTGTCAGAGTTCAAGATATACCAATTTGCGGGACTGGATTCATATGGCCTACGAGATCCTTGCCCGGGATAACTACGCCGATCCTTCTTTATCGGGCTCATCGCTGCCGCCTTACCCAGTCAAGGTAACAGAGGCAGTGGCACTTGCCTGTGATTGTGAAACGATGTTTCGTCTCGGTGGCTTTTTCGGTGCGAGAGTAGCGCCATTGTCCAGTTGCGGAATATTTGCAGTTGCGCTCCTCTCTGCCTATGGCCCAAGCATTATTCTTCTGGGAGCGAAAAAGCACTATTGCTCTACGAGGCACCAAATGAACCAAGACAACTTGCTCATTTGACAATCATTCGACCCGCTAAAGAAAATGCTAACATTCTATGGGACCCCTACGCCAAAAAAGATATAACACTTCTCGACAAGATACAAAGCTTAGCACTGTGATTTATTTACTGACAGTCTAAACAATTCAATTCCCCAACAAACCTGCTACGGCTGTCCAACCTTCCGATTCTAAATCTACGACAAAAAGTAGCTCGGTTAAAATATCTTTACATCCATTATTTCCATATACTGATCATTCAACCACAAAGTTATATTTCACAACTTGACATGCACTCGACAAAGTATCGCCATTCACTGGTCTTAACTCTATATTCGCAAGAACTAATCTCTACAAGAATTGTTTTTTTCCCTATCGTCCGTTGAAGAAGGTAGGGCGAGGGTAAGACGGGTCGGGTAAGGACGAAGCAGACGGAACGCTAAGAAGAAAAGAAGGTTTCCTCCTCTCTTCTCCAGCGTTCCGTGTGCTTCCTCCTTCGCAGCCTGTCCTACCCTCGCCGTACCTTCTTGAGTTGCAGCGGAGTATGGAACCATCGAAAATTGGAATAAATTACCAAACGAGGCCTTCGAAGCTGAAACTACTTTTTTTTTTTTTCGTGTCTTTCAATATAGCACTGTCATCACATTACACCATATATTCTCCTGCAGCAGTTGTTAATTTTATTTTCATATATGTTGTTAGAAGTGTATCGTGCCTTATCCCCTACGGGACCGTTTGGTCCTTAATTTCACTTGTTTTGTTGTTTATTTGCGCATTTGTACGACCCCGGTTACAAGGTATTGTCTATGTTGTATGATAAATTGTATTACAAAGACGTGTATACGTAGGCGTTAGGTTCCTGTGTTTTGCTGCGTGTAATATTATTGTATTCATTATCTGTGCTATTCCTTCTGATTGGGCACTTTTGGGGCCTGCACTATTTGTAAATAATCAATTAGGAATCTTTGGAGGAGCGGAAACAAACTATGCCCAAAGTTCCTTTGCTTGCCAACGTTCGCGGCGTGACTTGGAGACGTACTGGCATATCTGTGTTATTGGTGTCCTCAGGGCGGTTCAGCTTTAAGAGCAGGACATCTACTCTACAGCTAGCAGTATTAGTAACTTTTATTCGGATGACAAATTTGTCTATGTATATATATATAAAAAAAAACTAAATACGGTATCATGCAAGTCAAAGCTTCCTAGGTACAAAATGTCAAACTGTACTCTAAAATAACGAGATCTAAAAGCAATCACACACATACGCGTGTACATTTCCGCGAAGCTCTCAAAAGAGCCGATCGCCGCAATCTACGGAAGTACCTATACACCATTTCAGTTTACGACCAGACACAGCCGACGTTACCAGCTGATGGGTCTGGTCAAGCTCTTATTGTTTGGCAAGATGTTAGTCTTGTTCCGCGTTCCCTACTTAGAGGAGGCTATGCACCTACTGATGATTTTAAAATGCAATAAAAATTGTTGGCATGCTTCAGTTGTAAATAATAGGTTTTCTACTCAGTTCACCATCAATTGTCCTGTTTCGTTGTTACCACCCATTGACTGCAATATTCCTTGTATGGACCCGATATGTATTGATTTCGAAGGTTTTGTCAAAATTATTTAAACCGTAAAAGTGTCCTCGTCTTGTGGTACCAATGATATCAACTCTAAAATATTCCTCTGTACAAAATGTTCCTTGATCCTTTTTTGGACTAAAATATTCCAGCAGTCAATCATTAGGTACGATGGAACTTCCTGAGGATCGGAGAATCGGTGGGGTCATCTCGGTCCGCAAGAGAGGCAATAAATCATTTCCTTTAAATTTATTGACCGATATTTCTCACTTCTGAAGATTCGAAAACAATTGAACAGATACTCCACAAGCAACTATTTATTCAAGTTGATTTTATTTCCTTTTTTAACAAGGCGCTTCACGGCTTCCGTAGACATTTTTCTCGTGAAACGCAGCTACTTTGGCTCACTAATGACCTTTTTATTAACCTCAACCCCGGTTTTCTTACTGATGTTGTATTTCTTGACTTTGCTAATGCACTTGGAAAAGTGCCGTATAATCGACTCCTCCTCAACCTTTCATCATTAAACCTTGACACCAAGGTAGTCTTCTGGATTAATTATTTCCTGACACAACGTCCTTAGTTTGTTCATGCTAGCGATTCTTCATTTGGTTTAGTTCCTGTAACATCTGGCGTGTTTAAGGGGACGGTCCTTGGTCCAGTTTTCTTTCTCATCTACAGCCTGCCCACGAAACAGAATGAAGCCTTAATGCGACCGCATGAATGGGCTTCGTATTGTATCGCGCTGCCATTTACCACAGGGGTGCCTTTGAAGGTGATGAAATCATCGCATGAAAACTTAGAACAAACTTAGCTGACTGAAAGGTAAAAAAATTGATAACGGATTTTCCCTGCCTACTGCGCCCGTATGCCATGTACGCACGCTCTGACTTGCACAAAGACCGACAGATGGCGGCTCCGGTTCCGGCGCAAGCACTTGGTCACGCCAGAACCAGATGATGTTTTAGAATCATAAATGGCGCGCGCTCAATACAGGGTGATTCAGGGAGATGCCAGGCTCTTTAAATCAACCGCAAAATTCGGTTTCTTAACCTATCACGATACGACTTAGTGCAGCGTTGCCCACAGATGGTGCACCTTTTTTGTAAAATTTGCAAAGAGCAAACTTACCTGAGGAAAAAGTAAAAAAAAAAGAAAATAGGCTTATCTCCTATGGAAATGGAGCGACGCCACCGGTCTTCAAACAACACGGCGCCGTTTCGCACGGTAGACTAGAGTTGGCGCAACGAACGCCACCAACAAACGAGCATACGGCGCCGAGAGCCGGCGTTTTTAGCTGACAATCTTTTCGACTCAAAAGCGGCGCGCGTTCCGCAGGCGGCGACAGTCGCAGAAACAAAAACAGGCGCGATAACAACAAGGAAGTGCAGTTTCTTGTCTGCTAAAGACGCCGGCTTTCAGCGTCGTATGCTCGTTCGTTGGCGGCAGTTGGCGTCGCAACCGCTTGCGCCATCTCTTGTTTCCCGTGCGAAACGGCGCCGTGTTGTTTGAAGACCGGTGGCTTCGCTGCGTTTCCATAGGAGCTAAGCCTTTTTCTTTCTTTACTTTTTCCTCAGGTAAGTTCGCTCTTTGCAAATTTTACAAAAAACAAATGCACCATCTGTAGGCAACGCTGTACAAAGTCGCAGCGTGATAGATTAAGACGCCGAATTTTGCGGTCGATTTAAAGAGCCTGGCGTCTCCTTGATTCACCCTGTGGAACACATTAATGGGACACAAAACATGTAAAACCGAGTGCTCATCGAGTAATTCTAGCTGAACGTCTGCTTTTTGCGCGACCGGGCAGTAAGCTTGTTCCGGAGCCCCTGCCGCCATTTGTCGGTTGTTGCGCTCGTCAGGCGGTGCGTGGAGGGCAGACGGGCGCGATAGAAAGGAAAAAGCAGTTATCCTTTATTTTTTTTTATTTTTATCCTTGTAACTGTTTTTTTTTTTCCTGAAATATTAATGCGATGCATCCACCACCTTTGGGCAGCCACCATCTGGATTTGTGGGCACGCCGTACATGTACGATATTTCACTGCAAGGTATATTCATCATTGTTCTTTTTCGCACACGACTGTGTCGTTTATCGTAAAATAACATCTTCCCATGATTTTCTAGTGCTGCAACATGTCATTGACTCTACTAATAGCTAATGTTAACATATGTAAATGCATGCGCTTCTCTTCGTCCTCCTCTAAAGCTTCCGCTCCTCTCATTTTTAATAGTGTTCCTCTTGAACCAACTAACACGTATTGATATTTTGATGTTCTCCTAACTCCGAACCTTTTTTGGGATAGTCATTGCTAGAGGCCGCCGCCGTTGCTATCAGCAGCACGCGTAATAATGACGTCACCGGGCGCTCTATAAAAAGAGCACCGTCGTACGCGCAGCCAGGTCGCTGCCGGCCTCTGCGGAATAAAACTGTTCGCAGTCCTTCCTCATCCTGCCGTTTCTTGCCTCGCAGACATAACAGTCATGTTAACTGAGTAATATGTTCTGCCGATCGAAGCTTGGGTTACCCGCCGTAACTTCAGATCAGCCCCTCCTGATTTGAAACGGCTCCTTTATATTTCTTTGGTTTGATCTAAATAACAATACGCATCTTCAATTTGACACCTTCATCTTTCTACATTAAAATATAGTATTGACTCAGTTCAAAGTCGCGCTATCCGTTTCACTAGTGTTTCTCTAATCTAGTTAAATCTTTCTATCCCATTATTTTTAACTACGGGAAAAGGTTTGTCTTTGCCTTCTGCAGTATTTTATTCGCCGCAGCTCAGTGACTGGTTTCTCTCTAATTTCAGTACATTTAATTTTATTATTCATTTTGAAGTGGGGCAGCAGGGACAAAAGGTACTTAACACTTACCTGACCAAGGTCCAGTGCACTCATGCAGGTTTCAGAGAGGCACACCAGACACAAAACAAACACAAAATTCTAATGTCCACCAACCTATTATTTGGCAAGATTAGATAATTGCAAGAAAATAGCCGGGCCGCGATGTTTTTCTACAGCACATGTAAACGCAATTCTCCCCGACGTAATTTATTGACTGGAATGACTTTACCGAAGATATCACTCACACCAAATTTTGCGAAGCTATTTTCAAAATTGTAATTTAACATGCTCTCCTCTGTCTAAGGCTTCATTTCCTTGAGGATAGAGTAACTAACTAAATAAATAAATAAATAAAAGCGCAAGCCGCTGGGCATGAGTGATTCAGCGATAACGGAAGACATGCGGTAACATGACGACCGCCATGCGTCTGCCTTTTTGACGCTGTATGATTGACCTCATGAGGTCGTAACGTCAAATGCGTCTGGATTCAAGATGAAACGATGCGTCGAATCAGTCGGCGCTGAGCACGAGTTTGACGTAAGCACAGCGAATATCATGCCTAGCGCAACAGCGCAGGCTGTCCCTCTGTGGATGGTAGTGATTGACTCTACTAAATACTGCGGATGAAAGCAGACGCACAATATTTTTTTTAATGCGTGGTATAGTCGCTGGCAGATTAATAAATGCAGGGTGTGGATTGTCAATTCCACGCAGCTTGCATCGTAATTCCTTCTGCGCCGTTCTTATCGAATGACGCTGCAATCTCATTGACTGTTTCTTGATAATGAGGACCGTAGGAGTATCTGTGTCGTTTTGTTGATTTCGCATTCCAATGTCTCCAGGAAGCCTGCAAAGTGCTTACAGGTTCTGACTCAAACGGAACTGCACCACTGGAGCTCATCGCTGGAGTGACGAATCTCTGCTATAACTTCGCCGGCAAGCTGAGGTGTAACGACATCCTAAACATTCCAACGTCTTCATACAGCCTGGAGTTTCAGGTAGGAGCTCAATCTGGAGATGTAATATTGCGGCGATTGCAAACAATGCGTCCGAAGATCTATTTTTAATTTTTGCGGTTTCCTCTTGCTTAGACTTATCCCATCTGATTAGACAAAGCAGTGTTTTTCTTGGAAGTGTTCTCACACTGGGTTCTGTAGGATATTCGCAGCATGTTCTGTAGGAGACTGGAATTGGCGCGATGATCGAAGTTATCCTGGCTGGCTGAGATTCTTGTATTCATATTTTCTGTATTTATTTATTTATTTTATTCGTTCAGTTCTTTATTTAAGTACTCCAAAGGCCTGAAGGCATTACATAGGGGAGCGGGACACACACAAATATTATACAATCGGGAATATACAAACACTATAAACAAAACACATTTAAACAAAAAAAAGTCGGGTTCTTCGCCCAAAATGTTCGAAGAAGCGAAAGCGAGAGCTATAGCGCGGTCGCGCAAAGCACGAGTAAAGGTGCCTTCACGTATGTGAGGATGGAGGTGCGAGGCGGTGAATTCTTATAGCCGCCGTGGTTGGCTCGTGGATGCCACTCACGACCGCTGAGAGTGCTCGGTGATCCGTGAAGTGGGCAAGCGCGGTTGGTAGCTCAAATGATCCAACATTACGTGTAGCAGCTGAATACTGCCAAAGTGGGATTTCGCATAACGCGAGGAACGTTTGGAAGCAACAGTTTGAAGTAGACGACCCGAAGAGTTTCCCCATTCCTCGCGCCGTTCTTGGCGGGGCACCAGGGCTGCCCTCTTCGCCCTCTTCGGGCGGCACGACCGACGGGAAGTACCGACTTCCCCCTCCTCGCGCCAAGAGGGGAAAGAAAAGGTTTTTTTTTCTTTTATTGGCGGCAACGTCAGCCCACAAGCTCGAAACCTCTCCAAAGTGTCGGCCGTAAAGCTATCGCGACGAGACGAGGGTGTAAGTTAGGGACGTGGAGATGCGACAGTCGATTGGGTGACCTAATTATGTCCCCGCTTTAGGAAGGATTGTGGCACTCCACATAGATGGCGCCACGCAAGGAAGAAACTAAACACAATATCCTCATTAATGTTTCAGGCACTGGCAATTTATTTCGCGAAGTGTGCATGAACCATGGAAGCTTACTAGAGCAAACTAATATTATATTTAATAAATAGGCTCTGTTTGCCACGTAGTCCCACATTGCAAGTTAAAATTATCACGTAGGCGCGCAGCGGAAAAAAGTTAAGTCTAGCTAAGAAATCAGTTCAGGCATGTCGTGAGGGCCTCGACGTCATCGATTCCACTCCGCCAGGTTCGCGCCATTTGAAGTCAGCGGTGCGCCGTTGCACTGTACTGAGGTCACATTGTGCCCAGCGCGATAGATTCACCCGTACTCAACATTGCCTATGTTAAATACCACCGCTTTTTTTTTCCTCCGGGCCGTACCCCGATTGACAGTTCAGAACACAGCACGAGCTGCCCCATACCTAACAAATCTTGGCCACCCTTAGGCGTCAAAAAAAAGGGCGAGAAATGCCAATTTCGTATGGTACCGAAAACTTCGTCTGCTCTAAGCGAGTTCGGGAGCAACACAAACATAAAAAAAGCAAAGAGCACGTCGGACAATTCGCAGACAAGTCCACTTTGCCAGCCGCTCATACGATTTGGAAAATGCATCAAAGTCAATGAAAATGTTGATAAATAATGTGGTAATTTTAGTTCGCCGGAATGCGGTAAATTCTACTTCAAATTAACAAAAAATATATATATTACTGACATGGCGCGTTCCCTCGCAGAGTTCCATACGGAGCCTAGTCTATTTCCTTTGCATACCGCGGGGCATTCTATCGTAAGGCGGAGGTACCTGCCTAGCAGAAGTCGCCAGGACAAAATCCGATCGCACCGCTGCTTTCAGTGGGCGTTACCTCACCTGCATATCTTACAGCATGGTTGAGACACTACCTGGTCGATGATAGTGAATATAGTTAGTAAATATAACACTGGAGTTCCTAACTCCAGCTACGCACTGCTAAGTTAATGGGTTGTATATTTATTTTTCTCATATGAAATAAGGTTTATAATCTGTAAGTACTGGGAAACACTAGGGTAAAAACAGTAAATGGTGTAATATAGACACCTTAAAATTTATGTTCTGTAAGCTTTCTTTCCATCTTTCTTGTAGGAGCGTCGTAGTACCCAATTAAAACTTCGACGTAGAGCCACCTGTTGCGGCGCGCCGAGGGTAGGAAAGCGCTAGAGCGGAGAGAAACATTAGCAAAAATGACGTCATCACCGGATCGGATGACCCTGCCTAAGCTGGCTCGGAGATGCCGTCAATGTCTTCACGATGCTCTGGACAAATAACAGGCGGAAGAGAGTATCGCCGCATGCCCGGCGGCCATCGCCGCACGTATTTTCGAAAATAAATATGGTTTACGTTCACTTTTGCCCAAGGTAAGTGCGATGACTGAATTCACGGGGCAAAGGGCTATACAAGTCCACTCCTAACTCAAATTTACTGAAAAGTGCTTCAGCTTCTCTTTAAGGCTAAGGCTGAATGAGTGCCCAACTACAAGACACCTTCACTTTTATTATTAAGAGATTTTCGTAAACATATTTTTGGATCTATTGTTTTAATACTAATGGACCTTTTGGCGAATATGTGCTGCCACTTAGACACGCGACTGGGTTCCAGACAATGTGGCGAGAAAACAACGCGCCCGCAAGGCCTCTCCCACCCGTTCCACACCAAAAGCGTCAGCCACATCCTCTTCACTCATTGAGGCGCTGTGACCTAGATACGGCTCCCCAAAACTCGCCTTGTTTTCATCGTGCGTAATCTTCTGCCCCGAAGTTGACACAAAGAAACCACCTTCCCCCTCTGCTTGGCCAGAAGGAAGAAAGAGAGGGTACTAGAACCATTTATTCTTGAACCGATGTTTCTACAAAAGGTCCATCGTATAACTTCCGTCACCAGGGGCAAATGCCCAGGAATACTTTCCCTATAATGCGTGCAATTCTTGAGATTAAATATAATTAGGGTTCATACCCAAAAAGTTCATAATCCTTGCCGATCCTCACACAACATCGGCTGCATGATGATAGAGTCACTAAGTGCCAAAGAAAAACACTGGGTTCTGCTTACGGTGCCCATGCCTCTTGCTTCGTGATTGGTTAATCGGCGTTTTTATCGGATAATGCAGCAATCTCATTGACCGCAAAGGGATAATGAGATGCACCCGTTTCTTGAGCTGTCGGCGACTACACATTGCGCCACTAACTTGACAAAGCATGACGGTTTTTGAGCTGGTTTGGGATAATTTATAAAGAAATCTCCTAAAAACATTATCATCATCATCATAACTACCATGTGTTTTTTTTTTGCGTGTTAATAATTCCAGCTAAGTTCCGGGATGCGCACAAATACTAATTACACATTGCAGGGTTTCGATTCACGCTCAAGGATATCGTTATTGAATATCCTATGCAAGTACTAGCTAAAATTGTGTACTTTGCGATAGAAGTTGCAATAAAAATCAATAACAAGTAAGAAATGCGAACGCAGAGCGGCAGCTAGCGTTTTGCCGAGAGTCTCAGCGTTTTCAGGGCTAAGGTAAGGCTCGAAGCCTTCATTACGTTGCAATATACTATACTGCTCCTTACGTGACACGAACATGCAATTTCTGTTTCGCACATTAAACGCTTGACTGTGCTACCCGAGAAAACTAATATTGTCAAATGGTTCGCAACTTTCTGACAAAACTGAGCCGCGGATATTTGGATGCACGACGCCCATGAGTACAATGGAAACACGTGTTATGAGCGACATCGCATCAGAAAATGTCGGAGACTTATTGCCTGCTGAGCGATATTAAAAGGGCCCTCCGGAGCGTTCTGCGATGGTCTATATATGGCGGGAACCCACTCTACAGGCACTAAGGATCCTGAAAATCATAACATTAAGGTCATGCGCGGCGGATTTCCCTATTAAAATTGCTATCAAAGTCCCCGGCACGCCCCCCTTTCTGAGATGACCCCGGAAAACGGGAGGGGCATCTCTTTACGCGTCAGCCAATAGCAAGCGAAGGATTCCGGCGTCACTGCGCGTCACCAACGCGGACGACCGCCGACCCGCAGAGGAATCTCTCGAACACGCGCGGACCGTCGTCAAAGGGCCCGGACTTTGTGCTCGGCAGTCGTCGTTCGTCGCACCGCACCGTCGCGCTGCTACTGCAATACGCAGTCGCATTCCACAGATGACAAAGGAAACGTTTGACTCGTTGACGTAAAAGGATCGCAAAGCTGGCTTCGGAGTCAAGATCCACGGGAAGAAGGAACACGTGTCCCGCAAACGCACGCCTGCAGACGCCCCGGGAAGCAGACGAGCCGACGCGCTGACGCATCACCCCCTAGCAACACGCTTGCGGGGAGAAAACATAGCTCGCTGGTTTTGGAGCGATAATTGCGGACTATGTTTCCCGCACCACAATCAGTTTACGTTTTTCTCAAACTCTAATTTACAACAAGCTTAAAAAGTGTTGCAATAATAACTTTCGCATTCACCGCGAGATCCAGCATTTCCATTGGTCAAGTTATAGCTATGGGCAGGGAATGGGGGATTGTCTTCCAAGAGAAAAGAGTCCCGATATATTTCTTCTGCCATCTGCTTAATAAACGGTTTTGTAATCTAAAACTTTGCATACATATTAACTTGCACCTACTACGCAATATAACAGCATAAACAGACGATCGCAGAAAGCTCCGGAGGTCCCCTTTAAGATTCTCAGGGTTTTCCAGGTATAGCGTTTTTCAAGCTGTCATGATTTTAATGGTTTTGATATTAGCCTTACAGTTCATATACAAAGCAGAAAACATTACCGATGGCTTATCGTACGTCCTTATCTGTAATTCTTATCCTAACAACTCGGAGCGCTGTGACGTATTCATATAAAAACACGAATGGCGGGAACGATATTATCTGACATTTTACGCGAGAAAACTTCAGGGTGAGCATTGTGTACAAATCACATACAGCAGTGTTGTACACGTTCCTCAAAAAAAGGAACGAAAGCTCGTTCCTCGTCCCTTCTGATTTTTGGAACGCGTTCCCGTTACAAGTTCCATTTGTGAAAAAGGAACTCGTTACCGTTACAGTTAAAAAAATGGAACGTATCGTTACATATACGTTACATTTGTATTTTTTGCTAATTACCATATTTAGTTAAATCAAGCAGAGTTTTTTTTTTCTATCTATCCCATTAATAGTCAACATACGAGTTTTTATGTCGTGATGGAAGGGCACCAGGAGTAGAAAACACGCAGCAGTAGGATTTCATTTGTTGATATATTCATGTTATAAATCTCAGCTATTAACCATGTCCATGTTTGTAGTGGACAATTCAGACGAGCCAAATGTACATTTACCCAAGATTGCACGAGCGCTTTTAAACAACCTCACACGCTTCAATTTAACGGAGTCCTGTGTTAGAACTTAACAGTTGCTTCTCGATGTTGCTGTCCGCAAAACGAGCAAGTGAAGGAGAGGGTAGGGCTTTTGGAAAGTCAGTCTTGAAAGATACAAATACTTCGTTGTGAAGGTTGGATTTGCTGTTCAGTTTGAAGATAAAGAACAAAAAAAAAATAAGTTTTTTTTTTTTTTTGTATTTTTTAAGTGAATAATGTTCGGGATACAAGGATAAGTCCGATATCTGGCAATTTGTGATCTTGTTGTAATTGTAGGTCTCGTTATTGAAGTTCGAAAATGGCTGTAGTCGGGAATAAGATTTCTAGGTGTATGAGGATTTGTGGAACCAAAGAAAGGTAGCTGAGTTTGAAACAACCGTCTTTCTTTGTCTTTTCCTACAACTAAAAGTTTTGCTTTTTGTACCGCAGTTCCGGGCACTCAAAAAAGTATCATTGCCCACCAGCTCTCCTGCACCCGAAACTGTTAGCAAGCGAGGACCACACAAAATAATCCATAATATTAGTAGCCAAAAAGTTAAAGAGATCCTGCGGGTCATAAAGATATTGTTTTTGTACTTTGTGGGAGCGAGGTCCGGCCACCACCACCAGAGGCCGCTACTGACCACCCAGAGTTAAGAACATCTGGGCCGCGCAAACGTCCGGCCGCGCAGGTGTATAAAAGAGGGGGACACGCCCACAGGGAAGGAAGACGGACCGTGGCCACGGAGGCGTGCAGTTCGAACGCTCCGGCAATGTCTTACGTTGATACTAACAATCCATTCCTGTTACTTTAATAAATGTAGTTTCTCGTTTAAGAAACCCCGGCTTAGTGTTGTTCCTCCCGGATGGGCATGCAGCAAGGCAACCCTACCACAACTTTCATACTTTCCCTGTGAGAAATAAAATAAAAATTACCCCACTGGACGAAAAAAGGAACGCCGTTACTTCTTCCGTTCCAGTAAAAATGGAACGCGTTCCCGTTCCAGTTCCAGCGATGCAAAATGGAACGGCGGCGTTCCTTCGTTCCTCCTAAAAGGAACGCGTTCCAGGAACGCCGTTCCTTGGAACGCCGTTCCGTACAACACTGCTGCACAGCAATATTCGCTTGGAAGCAATGCAACCTGAATCTCGTGGAACAACCCTCGTGTTCAAATTATACACACCCTTGAAGCAATATGCGCGTGAAGGTGATATAATCCAACACTCGTGGTTCCTGATACATTTCCAGACGTGCACCGAACTTGTCCATCCAGTATGCAGCGATGGCGTGGCGGACATGTTTTATCCGTCCGTCTGGGACCAAGCTCAGGAGACTGAAAAATGTCGAAAGACGTACGGCGTCCGTTCGGATATCACGAAGGGCTATCTGTTTTTCGGTGGAGGGAACTTGCCTTCAGCCTCGAAAGTTATATTCAGGTGAGACCGATGCTGTCATCCCATCTTCACATTTATTCGAAGAATTTGTTCACTGACAAAGCTTGCAGCCCACGCGTTTACCTTTGATTATATTGTTAATATACCGGAACAGTATTGTATTGCATATATTAAAGAGTTTTAGGGAACCATTTTAGCTCATCCGATAGGATACGATGGATCCTCCGGTACGCACTGCACATCTGCGTGTCTTATGCTATAACGCATGCGCAGTTCGTACCGTAGGGCCCAGCGTACCGTATCGGATGTGCAAAAACGGATCCCTAAAACTCCCTATGGCCGCCATCAATCGATATAATTGCGGGTTGGTGAATAATCATTGGCAGCCACCAGTTTAACTCGAACACTGCCTAGGAGATTAAAGAGTAGGACGGGCTTTGGTCCAGCTCGTTTTTTACGGACCTCTGTTTTCGCTCAACTCGAGTCCTGGGGGCTAAATATTTCATCATAATCTTCCTTGATAGAGTGCGGGGCTGATGTTGAGCACGAGTGCTGCGTCATCGTTCGGCTAGCATTCGTGTTTAATTACTGCCTCATTCAATGATGCGAGCCCCTGCGGAACGCCGACGCAGTGTTGAGCTACGGCAGCCGAGAACTGCCGCTTAAAAATGCACAGATGGAATTTATTTTGCTGTTCTCCCCACGGGTTAGAGATTCCACTCAGCCGCTAGGGGCGCGACGGTTGAATATCTTCCAACCTAAAAAAGAAAAACACTGACTAGGTGGCGCAAGTTGCCGCCCGATTCAAAGGGGTCAACCTCATCCATCGATCCATCCATTTTCCCCAGAGAGCCTGCACTAAAGAGAGTTTCCAACTAACTGCTTGATCGGGGTCACCCGATTAATGGACCGTGTTAGTGATACGTGCTGCGAGGGGTGACAAAAGCGTTGATCGCCTGGAATCGTCTCCTCTTGCTTTCCCCCTCGTCCGCTTAAACGCAGAGCATGCGCACTTGCGACCAATCTCCGCAGAAGATGTCTGCCATTAAATTGCGAAACGGTCCACATGGTTTGAGATGTACCATCTCTCCCAATCTAGGCTCTCTACCCCTCCCCCCCCACCAAAAAAAAAAAAAAAAAGTCCGTCATTAGAATCAATGAAAGGACCGCGGCCAAGTTTGCCAGTCGCAGAATGCATTTGTTTTAACAAGTTCTGGAGGGCGAGCTGGTTTCTCAGCTTTTAAAACGTTCACACAAGTGTAGTAGCGCAAATAGCGCTATAGTGTGCAAGAAAGTTAGTTGTACGTGCTATCCGCTAGACACGTCCATGTACCACTTTGTGATTTATGTGGGAAGAAATAAAATTGTTCAAGCAGAATCCTACAAATGAGAGTGCAGGTGCTTTGCTTTCGATAGGTTAATGTAAAAACAATCTCAGGAAAAAAAAACAAAAAAAAAAAACGTTGCTATCGTACTTTACTGCTTAAACGGGCACTGAAGTCAATTCTGAGATGGTCCTTTTCTGGTGACAACACAATCTAGACGATCTAAGCATCCCAACAAACCCAAAATCACAATCGTGCGTAGCTTATTTTCTCGTTAAAAGCGTGTTCAAAGATCGTGACACACCCTTTTTGGGAAGAATTTTCTTCCGAGGGAAGTGGTCAACGAAGGGCGCTTGTCAGCGAGTTGCAAGCGATGGCTTCGCCCGCGGTGAAAAAGAGAAGTCTTATTTGAATGTGTATCTATCAGAATCTCTACGGAACGAATTACAATAAAATCATGCGAAATCTGAGCGTATCGTTGGGCTTTCATTGGTCCACACAATGTAGTCCGGGAAAAAAAAATGTCCACATGTTTTTCTATTGCCCTGAGATGAATAGGTGGTTTTGTAATATAGGACTCGGTATTTGTGAGAACTAACTCATTTTAAACAATATAAGATCAAAAACGACCTTTCTCAAAAAATTTCTTCAGTGCCCCTTTAAGAAATGCAGGTCGTTTCATGTTGTGTTCTTGTTTCTTGCTGATACGTAAACCGTTCATGGCTCTCCTTATCGGCCAACGCCTCAGACTAATTGGCTGTGGAGCAATAATGAGATGCACGGTACTAGCCACGCCCTACGCTTCTTACGTTGTCGGTGACCATGTAAACGTATGCTTTTGCAGCAATGGCGATCACGATCCTTGGAACGTCTACGGAATCAAGGATCCTCCTAGCGACGAGTCGGTGGTCATCCTGATCGAGGGCGCGGCTCACCACGAAGACTTGCGGTTCTCGTCTCCGAACGACAGCGATGCTTTGAGAATGGCCAGGTCCGTCGAGAAGAACTACATTCGGCAGTGGATTTTGGAGACCTCCAACACTTCGGATATTCCACCAGAGATTCCGGAGATATCCCAAAATTCCACGAGTTGCCGGAACGAAAGCGGGCCCAAATACGTTATTGCGTTGCTTTCTGCGATGGCTTTGATAGAGCTCAAATAATTGTTTGGGAATGCGACACGTGACAAAGCCACGGATACGTCAAGAAACGCAGAGTGCAGATGCAACTCTAGCGAGAATCTTGCCGCTTGTCTGTTCTGGTCGGCCCCGGCTGATCAGAACACAGGAGAACGAATCACTAATCAAGTATGCTGAACGTAACAGACTGCGTTTGTTTAGCTGTCAGGGACTGTATAGAACTTTATATTTTACTGTTTTGGGTTTATAATCTGGGTACGAATATAAAATATCGCGCGTGTTTGGGGGGTGGCGGGTGTGGCAGTGAAGGGATTTTCTTTTACGTAAAAATAAAGCTTCGGCCAGGTAGGGAGCAGATGGAAAATATTTTAAGTATATAGAATGTCGGACGTAATATTTCCGGTAATATCATCACGACCGGACTAAGGCTAGCTCAAACGGCTAGAATGCCGAATGGGGTGCTCCTGGAATGCCAAGCTATGAACATGACTTGTTACATTTCTATGCGAAAGCTGTGTCGTCTGCTTCGTCCTCTTGTGTGTTTCTTTCGTTTTAAGTCAATTTAATACCAAACTTCTTTTTTTTAACAGCTTAACGTTTCCGGGGTCCTCCGCATATGGCTCGTGTGCTGTCTCGGTTAGAACGCCGCTGTGCCAGCACAGATCCTTGCGTCCTGTATTTACATAAATACATTGTTGTGATCTGAAAGAAATTTAATGAACACCTAGATTATAGGTTTTTTAGTAAGGTCGTTGCATATAATGACGAATCATCTTTATGATGGCGGTTTGTAAAATTTACCGAAGCATAATAAAGAAACCTAGGTTGAGCGAGCCATAAAAAAATTCTTATTTTCTTCCCATATTGCGTTTCGTTGTGTTACTTCAGGCTACAACTTGAGATTTTGAATAGGGTGTGAAGATCTCACGTAAAGAAGAAAACAAAAACAACAACAACGTAGGAAAGAAGTTTTGGTTGAGAAATGTGTTTTTTTTGTCAGCTTTTTCTGCTTTCGATAGAGCTCAAGGTATGATGAGCCCAAGTTCGTCTGGTTCTGTTGCTGAGGTTGAGGTGACGCCAGAAATCCGAGCTCTGATTCGCTGACTGAAGGATAGTGGGTAGACCTCAAAGCAGCTTGATTTGAGGTCTACCCACTATTCTTCAATAAGAACCAATCAGAGCTCGGCGTTCTGACATCATCACAACCCCTGCAAACGAAGCAGACGAACTTGCGCTCCGCATTACGCTTCTACTGAAACGCATACATACTTGCGATTTATAAAATCAAAAACGCCGTCAACGGTTCTTGCCTTATTTCCACTCGACACATTATTAGTTCACAATATGGCCATCAAGTTCCATGCAAAAAGTTCACCCCGTGCATTGGATGGAAAATATACTGTTCACTAATCTACCATTAAATACGCATTCATCTCCTTCCTCAGGGGTCATGTGCTCCCCTTATCGGTTCTTTTTTTTTACTTTTGTAACGCACGGAACCGTGGTGTAAGCAAACACACGAGTACAAGCTGATTCTCCCGGAGCTTATCTCGACGAAAAAGATTAGAATCGCCAGACCAGTACAAGCTGATTCTTCCGGAGCTTAGCTTGACGAAAAAGATTAGAATTGCCAGCACTCGCCCCATTTTTGTTTCTCTACACAATGTGTCACGTTTCCTAACCCAGGAAAAATCGAACGGGGGCAAGATTGACCACATGTTTCTTCACTTTTCCGCGGATCGAAGAGAAAACTCGCCAAATTGGCCGCCCACTCAGCTATTTTATTTTTCTTTCCATTCCTTGTGCTTTCGAATCCTTTGTTTCTCGAAGGCATGACGCACAACCCTGTTGACCCTTGCACGCCTCGGATTTCACAACAAATAACAATAAAACTTTGATGCACGTGAGATCGGGACAACTGATAGCCGCTCTTTCTGGACGTTGCTGCCGTCAGCGGTAGGGTTGACACGACAGCTTCAAGCGCACTATGGCTTCCACGACGCGTGCGCTCCTGTTGGTTACTTTGAGCGTTTGTGCGATTGGAAGCGCGAACAAAACACCGTACAAAGAACACGTGTTCAGGACAAAGGTAAGCTTACAGCAAAGCAATTCTCTCTTACTTCTATAGGCAGAAGCAACTTGTTTTATACTTCTGATTTCTACCTTCTTCAAAAGCGTGAGGGACCGATGGATTATGAGTGTATTGGAACAAGTCAAAATAGAGGCACATATATGAACTTTATGAAAGCCCAGGTCAATGGGAGCTAGGAATCGGGGGTTACCTTGAGATATATTTATAAAATAAAACCTCCACAGGCTTGAGTTTCCTGCAAGAAAATGTCCGTCTATCTTGATTTTAACATGTATATATATTCTATGGCGCCTTCAACAAAAGCAGACAATCAGGCGTGCTCAATCAGAAGGCCACCACCCCTTTATTACATCGTCGTCATAAACCAATAAATGTGATGTATACAGCCACACATTAAAATTTAATTCAAAATAAATACGCCGCGGTCCTGTATATTTTTACATTTCCAGGAACCGCTCCAATTCAAGCAGATAGAATAGGCACCTAAAAACATACATTTTGTAGGCAGATTAAGTACAGGTATTTTTTAGCCATTAGGCGTTTTGATGAAACTCAAATTTAACAAATTATAGGTAACTAGAATTATGTTTATATGATTTCAATATATTCTATATTTTGAGGGTCTTAAATCAAAAGTTTTTGTGGGGTAGTTATTGCTGGCGAATTTAATCACTTGGCTTGTATAACTTAAAATTTTGGCCCCGTTGCATACGATCATCACGGTAACACCTAACGACATAAATTACTACGCATTTTTAAATAAAACTTTGCCGAAGCAAGCGTGTTGAACCTGTAAGCACATCGTGTTACTTGTTGAGCATACATCACTATATTTGCAATACAAAAATATTGAACTGCAAAATCGGTATAAATTAACAAATATATATGCTCGTACCCTTGCCTGAGATAACCATGCAGTGAAATCATTTTCAGCAAAATAAAAGCTGTTGTTGTTATACCGCATTAACAGAACTTATCTCTTAGGCTTTCCCTGTGATTGGCACTAAATCTAATTTACCAAAAGTAATTTTTGTCTACGCCAACTGGAGTTTATACTTGTACTTTGGTAGAAAAGGGGCTGACTGTTGGATTATTATTTTACTTCATGTTAATTGGTCTAGGCGGACAGTAGTCGGGGGTAATCTTAACAATAAGCTACACGATACATTGAAATATGGTAATTACTTTCATAATTATTAATTAAATTACAAAGTTCAATATTATATTTCAGTTAATTATTCCACAGATCGTTACGGTTTTTCCCATTAAAAGTCCATGCACTGAGCCCAATAAATAGTGCAGCCGACATCCACTTAGAGATCCCCTCTTTTAAAACATCGTCCCAATGGAAACGAACACCTTCTATAATAAACGCGATGGCACTTTGTATGCTACACGATTATCTTCTTACCTTCTGTCAAATTGGCACAAAGGTTGCGTGATGCAAGTTCCCAATGAAGTGGACTGAATGTTCAAGGGTATCAAGTATTCCTGAATTCATAAAACAAAGGGAAGCATATAAAGAAATCAAAGGAAGTGAAGAAGCGAGCATTAAATGGCAGTCCCGGTTATCCCTCGAATGTATTTAGAAACGTTTGATTGAGGAAGTTAATAAAGTTTCTTTGTTAAGTTTTGCTGGGGGTAAGGAGATGTGTCACATAAGACAGCACGAAAAACCGGCGGAGGGAAACCAGTAGTTTCTCTCGGTGTTTGGGCAACCCCCTCCCCTCATCAAACAGTTTCATTTCATTTCATTTATTATTCCTTGAGGGCCCGTTAGGGCATTATACAAGGGGGGTCAATAACACACTAATAATCATAGTTTAAAATAAATGAACACTCACAGAGAGGAAGTCTGCAATACAGATGAATCAAAGAACAACAAATACAAGTAGTTATCAACATTACACAATATAATTAATATTTTAACGGTATGCACTGTAAACAGTAAAAAGGAAGAAAAAAAAATTAGCAGATAGACATGTTTGTAAGTTCCAGGTAATTAATTGATCAGTTCTTCGGCAAATCTATCAGAGTTAGTCTTGGTTACAACGCTATCGGGTAATTTATTCCAGTCCTTGATTGTCATGGGCAGATAGGAATTATAAAATGATACAGTTGAACTAAAAATCGGGCGAACTTTGCGGGAGTTATCATGGCGGAGAGATATGCTGTGGGGTGGAAGGAAGAGGGATGTTCTAATAGAGGCATTGTTATAGTATAATTCAGGGATGGGCAAAATACATGCAAATATGTATCGAAATACAAATACAAAATACTCCGTCAAAAATGTATTTAATTACAAATCTAATTACATTTACAAAAAAGTATTTAAGTACAAGATACAAATACAACCAAATGTATTTGGTCTCCTCCAAATACTTTTCAAAATACATTCCTTAAAATTTGCGTCAGCGACTTCAGGGCACCTGCAACGGGTTTCTGGGTATCTCATTTTTATTTTGGATCGAACACTCGGGAGTTAGTGTGCGAGGCTCTAGTAACGTAATAGAAATATAATCACACACAAAAAAATGTAATCAGCTTGGACGTAATAGGTGAAAAAAGTACCGAGCTTCAAGCAGCTTTTTTTGTCGATTACATTTTGGTATAGACCAGGGGTGGCCAAACCGCGGCTCGCGAGCCGCATGCGGCTCTTTGCTTGTCCAAGTGCGGCTCGCGGATACCTCGTAAGGGGACCCCCCCCCCCCCCCCCCCCCCTTTCGCCCCTTTCCGCGTTTCTTCAGGAAAAAAAAAAAAGAAAGGATTTCAAAATAAAACACACTGCAGCTTACAGTTTGACAGCCTTGTACTCCCATACGTACAGTCGTACAGCCTTGTGCCCCCCTACGTACAATCAGACTCTGAACAAAAGTTACGTTTGCCCTGCCCCCCTCCTCCCCCCCCCTCCCCCCCCCTTCCCCCCCCCCTCCCCCCCCCGCGGCTCTTAGAAGTTCCGTGGTTTTGTTTGCGGCTCTTAGGCCAGGCCAGCCTGGCCACCCCTGGTATAGACCAACAAAGAACCGAGACGACCAAGACCCGCAGCACTAGCTAGAGATTTTTTTATTGTTCGAACTCGCACCAGTTACGAAAATCTGGACGACCCGCGCATTTAGTATGTTCCAGGCAAAAATATGAATGGAAATCAGGCTGAAAAGTATCACAAGGTTGTCACAGGCACTTATTTAGCCAGTCTGCCTGTGAACGTCGATTTCGTCACTATTCTTGCCCTGGACTAGCACCGTAATCACAAAGTCACTGAACGCTTGTGCTTGATTGAGAGACACTTCATTCGGTGCAGAACGTATTTTTTTAAATAAAGCCAGAGGAGGAAAGGAAAAAAGCCCCTTGGCCGAATAAAGGATGGAGACTATATCTTACAACCACATGCATAAAAACAAGAATTGCAGCTTTGGCAATAACATTCATTTAACGTAATAGAGGCAAGTGCAACATAAAAAAGGAGACCTTCTCAGTACAGTGTAATTTTGGTGCAAGCTAATCTGTGAAGTTTCGACTAGTACGACTTCATCAGCAGAAGCTTTTCGAACCACGTGTCGCTAAGGCGACGCCTGTTGGGGCAAGAATAAGGCTGCCAAGGGAAAATAGGCACTCTACGCGAACTGCCGCAGGACTGGTGTATGAGGAGATGAAGAGTTTCTTGGTTTGTTGTTGCCGTTGGCGTTGAGATGAAAAAAGAGCAGCTTTGAACAAGTCTTAGGATGAGCAAAATGAGTCGCGACAATAAATTTGAGGGATGTATTTTCGACCACAAAATTGTATTTAATTACAATTGTATTTGAAATACCCAAGTTTTAGTATTTAAATACACACGTCAAATACATTACCCCATTTGTAATTAAATACAGATGCAAAATACACAAAGTATTTGAAATACGTATTTCAAATACTTGTATTTGAAATACTGCCCATCCCTGGTATAATTTATGAAACAGGGCTAGTCGAGAAAGAATTCGCCTAAATGAGAATGCGTGAAGGTTAGCTTTGCTTCTTAGGCCTGTTACGCTAGTGAAACATGAGTAGTCTGAGAAAATGAACCTTAAAGCTCGGTTTTGAATTGCCTCTAATTTCATAACTAGGTAATGCTGCCATGGGGACCATACAGAAGACGCATACTCTAGACGAGATCTAACAAATGTTATGTATGATAATTGTTTAATTTCAGGTGAGGCCAGTTTGAGTTTGCGCCGAAGATATCCTAATGATGAATTAGCCTTAGATAAAATTAAATTAATGTGAGTTGCCCAAGATAGATCACAGGTTAAATGAACGCCAAGGTATTTATAAGATGCACAGGGGTTAATTATTGTGTCGTTGAGTTGATATGAAAAGAGTGATGGGGACTGTGATCTGGTGAAAGACACTAGTTTCGTTTTATTTGCATTAACTGTCATTTGCCATGTTTGACACCATTCTTCAATTATTAGTAAGTCAGCCTGTAAGAGTAGGTGATCATTATTATTACTTATCGGTTTGTATAGAGCACAATCGTCAGCAAAGAGGCGAATTTCAGATGTTAGGTTAGCAGGAAGGTCGTTAATGTATATTAAAAACAGCAAGGGGCCAAGAACACTACCTTGGGGTACGCCGGACGTTACACGAGAAAGAGGTGAACGGGACTCGTTTACAACAGTATATTGTGTACGATCGAATAGGAAATTTTTTATCCAAGTGATTACTGAATTATGAATACGCAGTTGGGTAAGTTTTTGTAGCAGACGTTGGTGGGGAACTTTATCGAATGCTTTAGAAAAGTCTATGAAAATGACATCGGTCTGTAATCTCTTGTCAAGGTTACTGTGAAGCTCATGAATGAAATGTATTAGCTGGTTATCACACGAATATGTCTTACGAAAACCATGCTGATTTTTAAAAAGCAGATCGTAATTTTCCAGATATTTCATGATAGAAGAGAAAATGACGTGCTCTAGTAATTTACATAAGATGCTGGTGAGAGATATTGGGCGATAGTTCGATACAACATTACGATCCCCACTTTTAAAAATAGGGATGACTCTACCAATTTTCCAATCAAACGGAAGCTTGCCGACATCAAGTGACTGTTGAAAAATAAGGGTTAAAAATTGGGATGAGATATGTTTTGTGTTTTTCAGCAATTTAGAATTTATTTGGTCATCACCGGAGCTGGCAGAATTTTTTAGATTTCTATTGCTTTCACTATACCCAAATATGTTATTTCGATAGAAGGCATAGCAGAATGAGAGATGTGATTTAGGAGAGGAATATTGTCATTGTTTTCTAGTGTAAATACTGAGCTAAAGTAGGTATTGATTAGTTTCAACAAAACTCCGAAGGGCAGCTGAAAGCAACCCCCTTTCTTTCCCTTCCCACCACCCCACCAAAAAAATAAAAGGATAGACTCCTGTGAGATGCTTAAACTATATGAAAACAATTGCTATAGCAATATTATATCTCTTACCACTGTCACATTGAAATCGCAAATCACATGGCGTCATTGGTTTGCTGGATGTACTATCACCTTTGACAATAGAAAACGCCGGAGCGCCCCCCTTTCACATTGGTGTCACCCCGATGTATTGTGTAGTTCAACGTCAAGTGCGAGATAAAAAAATAGAGGGAAATGATTTTCTAAATAATCTTTGCAAATATCACAATAGTACACAGAATTATTTCAGCTGAAAACATAAATGACGCAGTAGAGTAATGCAGTTAATTGCAGATTATTTTTTTTCAATTAAAGTGATGCGGTATTTCTTTTTCTTTAAAACAACTAGTTTCTTTGTTTTCAGAAGAAGCTTTTGCGATGAGCGTGCACCACTCTAGCTAGTATCTTTTTAACTATTACTGGGTCAGCTAACTTGGCATGTAAATCTAAAACCCTGTAAGATACGGTATTGTGCTTGAATCAAAGGGTTGCTCTTGAGCGCCACAAAAAAGTTCAGACTTTTAACTGCGAGTATGAAAGGAAAACACAAAACATGAAAGGTTTTTAGCTGTTTATTAAAAAAAAATTGAAAGTGAGTGCCTTCGTGATACGCTAACCATTGTCCTTATAAATGATTTAAACCCGATGTACTAGAAAGAAAGCCTTATTAATAAACATAATTTTGTTCCTTTGCAAAACAATTAACAGAATGGACAATATAATGAGCATATATAATATTCTAAAAGTATTTTTTTATTTTTTCCTTTTGTACCATTTGTGAAACCAAACCTCCAACATTCACAAAAATGTGCCATACAAGAAGGTACGCTAAATACCGCTCTCGGTTCATTCCCAGGTGGACCACTTTGCGTACCACAATGACGAAACTTTCGAGATGCGGTACATGGTGGCAGACCAGTACTGGGACCGCAATGGAGGTCCCATATTCCTCTACACCGGAAATGAAGATGACATCGAGAGCTTCATAACTAACACCGTAAGATTTAACAGAGTTTTGTTATAGTATAACTGAATCAGGAACATGTACAAAAATATAAAAATTCAAAAATAAAAAGAGAATAAGAATATAACAAGTAAAATTATGTGTAGACATGAAAACTAAACGGCAGTTCTAAACATCAGAATCCTATTTCTTACACATATTGGTATTTTCTATTGTTGAACGTATTAACTAAATTTCGCTATTTAGAACAAATGTACTGCGATCTGCACTGCGGCGCATCCAATGGTCATGCTTATTTTAATATTTCCGCTGTTTTTTTTAAGTATTAAGCTGTTTCAGTTACTGTTTGAAATAACTGAAAACAAGGTGATGGGAAAAAATCAAGCTGCCTGTAATAAACTATTTTTAGGGGCTGATGTGGGAATGGGCCCCCGAATTCAACGCCTTGCTTGTTTTTGCCGAGCACCGCTACTATGGAAAGTCTATGCCTTTTGGAAATCGGTCTTTTGAGGTAAGCGTATTTTGGTTACTTTACGGTCACGTGAATTGTTGTAATTGTTGCATATTGCCACCCGCAGAGCCGAGAAGGCAACGCTCGGTCACGGTCTTCTAGAAGATTCCCTGTCATTCTCGCAGCAGACGTAACTTTCCTTCTGCTTAGTTATTCTCGAAAGTGCCAGTTCATCCTCGCCCCGAGCGCGCGACGCTCGAACCTTCTTTGCCGAACTTTCGAGATAGTGACGCAGGGTAGATAAGCGGCTCCCGCGACCTTGTCGAGTCAGTCGCAGTCTCGCTCGCGCTTTCTGATTCGCCGCCGAATCGCCGCCTGCTTTTCTGCTGCTCCGACGCTCTTTCGTTACTTATTTTTTGGTTGGCACAAGTTCGCCCATTAAATCTTTATTTTCAGTTCACTGTTCGGCTTTTCGTCACCTTCATTCGTGACATTTCTGGTGGAGGTGCGGGGTACAAAACCCGTGCAGCGTACCCCTACAAGAACTCGATCAGCAAGCCCCATTTCCCGACGACCTTCCGTTGAAGACTCGGAGCATCGAGCCAGCCGCCGTATTCAAGGGTTGCCCCGGAATTCGGTCTACTGCCGAAGAAGACCAACCAGTCGACGAAGCCGACAATGGACCCCCAGTCGTCACAGACTCTGGCCGCCGTCCCCGTCGTCTACCTGCCCGTCGCCCCTCGTACACCGACGTCCTTCCATGGCGAGATCTACGAAGACGTCGAAGATTGGTTGCAGCAATACGAACGGGTGGCGCTGCACAACCAATGGACTCCGGAACAGCGTCTGCAAAACGTCTATTTTTCCCTCGAGGGAACGGCACGACACTGGTTCGAGAATCGTGAAACCTCGATTACGTCATGGGACCAGCTGAAAGGAGAGCTCCGAGGGACGTTCGCCAGTCAGCACCGAAGGGAGAGAGCCGAAGACCTCCTTCGGACGAGGACGCAAGGCCCCAACGAAAGCGTAACCAGCTTCGTTCAAGACGTCCTACGGCTGAGTGCGCGTGCCGACCCACAAGCCACTGATGACAAGAAGCTGCGTGTCCTCATGCGCGGGGTGAGGGACGACATCTTTGGGGGCCTCGTCCGCTACCCGCCGACCACCGTCGAAGCGTTTGTCACGGAAGCAACGAACATGGAGCGCGCCCTCCAAGCACGCGCCTCCTACTACCAACGACATCCCGGCATCGTTGCCTCCACCGACATCGGCGCCCGCACCCGGGACATACGCGACGTTATCCGGGACATCGTCCGAGAGGAGCTCCGAAAGCTGCTCCCCGCTACTGAGCGCCCGGCGTCGCTGTCAGTCGCCGAGATCGTGCGCGACGAGGTACAGCGGGCCTTGCAGCCTGAAACTCCCGTCAACGAGCAAGCCCCTGAGGAACCGAGGCTGACCTACGCCGCCATGGCCAGACGACCGCCGCAAGCTCCCCGCCAAGCTACGGTGACACCACGACGTCAACCTCCAGCGCCACAGTACTACCAACGTCGCGAAGAACGACAGCACGTGCGCCCGGAAAAACCAGCACCCAGGAAAACTGACGTGTGGCGAACGGCCGACCGACGCCCGCTTTGTTACCATTGCGGGGAAGCCGATCATGTCTACCGCCGTTGCCCGTACCGGCAGCTGGGGTTACGAGGCTTCCACCCCGACGACCCGCGACCACGCTACGGAGAGCGACCTAGGGACATCGACGAATACCTCCGCCGTTCGCCATCCCCAGGACCGTCTCCCCGCCGCGGTTACCGATCGCCATCACCGCAACGCCTTGCATCGCCTCATCGTAGGTCCCGCCGAGAAAGCCTGTCCCCCTTGCCTCGCCGGGAAAACTGAGTGCGGCAATACCGGGAGGTGGTATTGCCGGTGACGAACGACGCCAATATCCTCCACTAACGTCGGAGGGCTCCCACACTAGCGACGAAACGGATAGGAGCGACGCTTCTGTGACGGTGTCGAATAACCTCGACGTTACCATCGACGGCCACGACGCGAAGGCACTCGTCGACACCGGAGCAGACTATTCCGTTTTAAGTGGGAAGCTCTCTCGCCGCCTTCGGAAAGTGATGACGCCGTGGGATGGCCCGAAAATACGAACCGCCGGCGGACATCTCATCACACCAGTGGGAAGGTGTACTGCGCGCGTGGACATCTACGGAGAGTCTTGTCCCGTCAAATTCGTCGTCCTCAAAGACTGTTCGAGAGACGTCATCCTTGGCATGGACTTCCTTTGTGAGTACGGTGCCGTGATCGACCTTGGAGCAAACAGGTTGACGCTGCGAAAGCCCGTGCTACCTCCGGAGGAATCCAAAACGTCGCCAGCCGCCGTCCGAGTCATTGCGGACCACGTGAACCTGCCGCCACGGTCGAGTGTTCTTGTGCCCGTCGTTACCGACGCAGTTGCCAGCGGGAAAGTCCTTCTGGAAGGCAACGTCCAACTGCTTCTCGGAAGAGGAATAGGCGTCGCAAGGGGCGTAGCAGAGCTGCAGGATGGACGTTGTGTGGTCCTCGCGACGAACTTTCGACCGGAGGCGCAGCATCTCACGAAAGGTGCCACTATAGGACACGTCGAGGAACTCCGGGCCGACGCCGAAATCGCCGCGATCTCCGAAGAGCCCTCGCCATGTCAGCCGTCCAGTACAGTGCCGCAACAGCTTGACGTTAACCCCAAGCTCAGCGCCACGGAACGACGACAGCTCGGAGACCTCCTCGCCGAGTTCGGCGACTGCTTTGCGACGACGTCGAGGGTGCGCCAGACAACAGTTGCGAAACACCGCATCATTACCAACGAGGACGCGCTCCCTGTGCATCGGCCGCCGTACCGGGTCTCCCCAAAGGAACGAGAGGCCATTCATGAACAAGTACAGGAGATGCTCAACGACGACATCATTCAGCCTTCGAGCAGCCCGTGGGCCTCTCCAGTTGTGCTGGTAAAGAAGAAAGACGGAACGCTTCGATTCTGCGTTGACTACCGGCGGCTCAACGCGGTCACGAAGAAAGATGTGTATCCGCTCCCCCGCATCGACGACACGCTGGACCGGCTGCGCCACTCCCGATACTTTTCGTCGATGGACCTTAAGAGTGGCTACTGGCAGATCGAAGTCGACGAACGGGACCGAGAAAAGACTGCCTTCGTCACGCCCGACGGACTGTTTGAGTTCAAGGTGATGCCCTTCGGACTGTGCACGGCGCCGGCAACGTTCCAACGTGTCATGGACACCGTCCTGGCAGGCCTCAAGTGGCAGAGCTGTCTCGTTTACCTCGACGACGTCGTGGTATTCTCCGCCAACTTCGACGAGCATTTGCGACGCCTTCGGGCCGTTTTAGAGGCAATCAGGACCGCAGGACTCACCCTCAAGCCGACGAAGTGCCGGTTTGCCTACGGCGAACTGAAGTTCCTGGGCCACGTGGTGAGCAACGAAGGTGTAAGTCCTGACCCTGAGAAGACTCGCGCCGTAGCGGCCTTTCCACCGCCCACCGACAAAACTGCCGTCCGAAGATTCCTTGGGCTTTGCGCATACTACCGGCGATTCGTTCAGGATTTCGCCAAGCTTTCTGCGCCGCTAACGCACCTTACGAAGGACGCCGTGAACTTCGACTGCACTCTCAAGAAAAAAGGGTGTCAAAAGGTGTATCGTTACACCCTTTGTCCCATATAATACACCCCCAAACTTCAATTCGACGTACTGCGCCCTACAGTCGAACAGACGGCCCTAAATTTTGCGAGGGGCTTGATAACAGTGTGGTACAACTTATTAAAATAGCTAATGTACGTTTCATTGACTGCAGAAAAAATAATCGGGGTTTTGTTTGCCGTACTGTAAAAACTCGGTGTTTTCTTTATGTGGTGTTTGATACGTACTTTAGCTATTGAAAATGTTGTACCACACGGCTATCAAGCCCATCGTAAAATTTCGGGTCGTCTGTTTGACTGTAGGGAGCAGTACGTCGAATTGAAGTTTGGGGGTGCATTATATGGGACAAAGGGTGTAACGATACACCTTTTGACACCCTTTTTTCTTGAGAGTGTGGGGTGAAGAACAACAACAGGCATTCGACGAACTAAAGCGACGGCTCCAGTCACCACCGATTCTCGGCCACTTCGACCAATCAGCCGAAACGGAGGTCCACACGGACGCCAGTAATACAGGACTCGGAGCGGTACTGGTCCAACGACAAGACGGTGCGGAGCGCGTGATCGCATACGCTAGCCGGACGCTGTCGAACGTGGAACGCAATTACTCGACGACCGAGAAGGAATGTCTGGCCGTCGTCTGGGCCATCACGAAATTCCGCCCATACCTGTACGGGACTCCTTTTCGGGTGGTCACCGACCACCATTCGCTGTGTTGGTTAGCGAGCCTGAAGGACCCATCGGGACGCCTCGCTCGATGGAGCCTACGACTGCAAGAGTACGACGTAACCGTGGTCTACAAGTCAGGCCGAAAACACAGCGACGCCGACTGCCTGTCCAGAGCCCCTGTCGAGTCAGCTGCCGGATGTGCCAAAGACGACGACGACGACCACTTTCTTGGCGCGGTGAGCATTCACGGCATGGCAGCACTCCAGCGGGACGATCCTGAGCTGCGTGCATTGATCGACCACTTGGAGGGACGAGGGGGTACGATTCCCCGAGCCTTCTCACGTGACCTGCCAAGATTCGCCGTCCGGAGAGGTATCCTCTATAAAGAAAACTTCGGGGACAACAACTCGACGTGGTTGTTAGTGATTCCTGCTAGTCTTCGAGAAGAGATCTTCCAAGCCTGCCACGACGACCCAACATCTGGTCACCTTGGCTACAGTAGGACTCTTGCTCGAATCCGAGAAAAATACTACTGGCCCAAGCTTCCGAAGACTGTCCACCTCTACGTCCGTTCGTGCCACGAATGCCAACGACGCAAGAAACCACCGACGAAGCCGGCAGGTCTCTTGCAACCGATCGCGCCCCCGACTGCACCATTCCAGCAGGTTGGAATGGATCTTCTCGGACCTTTCCCACCGTCGGCGCAGGGAAACCGGTGGATAATCGTGGCAACTGATTATCTCACCAGGTACGCCGAGACAAAAGCACTCCCGTCGGGGACCGCCGTGGAAGTAGCCAAATTCTTCGTGGAGTCTATCGTCCTCCGACACGGCGCTCCCCAAGTCCTGATTACGGACCGAGGATCCTCGTTCATGGCGCAACTGACACAAGAGATACTCCGCCTGAGCCACACCGACCACCGCCGGACCACGGCATACCACCCGCAGACCAACGGGCTGACGGAGCGACTAAACAAGACCATCTCCGACATGATTTCTATGTACGTGGACGTGGAACACAAGACGTGGGATGAAGTGCTGCCCTACGTCACGTTTGCGTACAACACGGCGATTCAAGAAACTACCGGCGTTACACCCTTTCAGCTGGTGCACGGCAGAAAGGTGACGACGATGCTCGACGCCATGCTGCCCCACGACCCGACGGATGACGGCGCTGACGACGCCCAGCTGGTCACCCAACGAGCAGAAGAAGTACGCCAGCTAGCCCGTCTTCGAATAAAGGACCAGCAACGTGTGGACGCTGGCCGGTACAACCTTCGCCGCCGCGACGTGGAGTTCCAGCCCGGAGACAGGGTATGGGTGTGGACGCCCATTCGCCGCCGCGGCCTCAGCGAGAAACTGTTAAAACGCTACTTCGGACCCTACAAGGTCATCCGCCGCCTTGGGGACTTGAACTACGAGGTGCTCCCCGACGGAACTCGCCCATCAGGACGCCGCCAGCCACGACCCGAAGTCGTCCACGTAGTTCGACTCAAGCCGTTCTACGCGCGTTAGGATTGTGAAACTGCATGTTTGTTTTGTTTCGCCGTAATTGTTTCAGCCATTTCCGTTTTCCTTTCGTTTTGCATCGGGGCGATGCACTTTTAAAGGGGGGATAATGCCACCCGCAGAGCCGAGAAGGCAACGCTCGGTCACGGTCTTCTAGAAGATTCCCTGTCATTCTCGCAGCAGACGTAACTTTCCTTCTGCTTAGTTATTCTCGAAAGTGCCAGTTCATCCTCGCCCCGAGCGCGCGACGCTCGAACCTTCTTTGCCGAACTTTCGAGATAGTGACGCAGGGTAGATAAGCGGCTCCCGCGACCTTGTCGAGTCAGTCGCAGTCTCGCTCGCGCTTTCTGATTCGCCGCCGAATCGCCGCCTGCTTTTCTGCTGCTCCGACGCTCTTTCGTTACTTATTTTTTGGTTGGCACAAGTTCGCCCATTAAATCTTTATTTTCAGTTCACTGTTCGGCTTTTCGTCACCTTCATTCGTGACAATATCACATATCTGAGGCACACTCTGTTTCAGTGTTGACGCATACCTTAGCGGTTTATTGGAGCAAATGTTAATGCAAAAATAAATATAGCACAAACTCAACATTAAAGCAAACCCATGCGCGAGCACATAAGAAAAAACTTCCTAAATACGCTAAGTTACCTGAGGACATGCTCCAGGTAAGTTTTATTGTGTTGCAAGTGGAGAATGGGATGCCCGTACTTTCAGCTTGAATTTATTAGCCAACGTAGCAATTACTCTTCACCAATAATACAAATCTAACCTTGATAATATAACAAATTTTATAGTTCAGAAAACCAGGTTCACATGTGTTGAAATCAACTGGAAGAGCAGTGTTGAGTTCTATATTTGATGAAGCTTGTTTAATTCTTTAGTTGTACAAAGCATGTGCCTTACAAAGATAAACTAAAGGGAGACATTACCTAGTAAACCTCTCATATTTATGGACGTAAATGTAGTAGAAAATTGGAAATATTTCAGAGTCCATCGAAGCTTGGATACCTGACGTCTGAACAAGCTCTTGCGGACTAACAAATTTTATAGTTCAGAAAACCAGGTTCACATGTGTTGAAATCAACTGAAAGAGCAGTGTTGAGTTCTATATTTGATGAAGCTTTTTTAATTCTTTAGTTGTACAAAGCATGTGCCTTGCAAAGATAAACTAAAGGGAGACATTAGCTAGTAAACCTCTCATATTTATGGACGTAAATGTAGTAGAAAATTGGAAATATTTCAGAGTCCATCGAAGCTTGGATACCTGACGTCTGAACAAGCTCTTGCGGACTACGCCGACCTGCTTCTGCACCTGAAAGCAAAACTGCCAGGAGCAGAAAAGAGTCCAGTCGTGGCCTTTGGCGGGTCTTATGGAGGCCTTTTGTCTGCATGGTTTAGAATCAAATACCCGCACCTTATAACAGCGTGAGCGTTTTCTTTGATTTATTTCCCAACACTGGTCTTCCCATAATAACAAGAGACCATATATCACATAAGTCGTTGAATCTTTGGAAAGGCAATTTATACAACTTGAATTTAACTAAATAAAGCGTGTGAATCTTACGCACCTAGTAATAATATAGTACATAGTGAATATTCCAGAAAATTTAACAAAATATCACAGTTTAATGGTGTTTACATTATTTATATTGGGTAAAAAAACATTACTCATTTATGAATGCTTATTTGTGTAGAATCTTTTGTAAAAAGGCCCGCACTCCACGCAAAATATCACAGTACTTGGGATATGTTGTTTAAGCTAAGAGCATTTAGTCAGGTTTCACAATCGTAACGCACAAGGAATGCCAAATTTGCATTTGCCATACTTTCAGAACTCTGAGCATGTTTAGGGTTAAGGGCTTCATTGTCTGTGTAGATACATGATGCAACCAAATCTAAGCAAAGGACGCTCACGTTTCCCCTATATTTGTTTGCCACGAGGGACACAGTTGACACGCTTTCTTAGTTTTAGTAATATTCGATTGCTTTGATCTTTTGCAGTGCTTTGGCCAGCAGCGCTCCCGTCAACATGTTTCCTGGCCTGGTTCCATGCTCCACTTACAGCATAGCGATAACCGAAGCGTTTCGACGGGTATCGGAACTCTGCACACATGCTATCAGACAGTCGTGGAGTCCTCTAGAAGCCATGGGAGCTACCGGTAATGACAAAAGAAATATTTTACTTCTAACGGTGCAAATTCGTTACACAGTTTTAGGATTAACGATGAGTATCAGCATCTGCATATCACGCTACAAGATATGTTTCGTTTAGAGATGAAAGGCTCAATCAGAGTGCTTAATAATCTGCGTTGGTTGTAAATCTTTACAAGAGGTGGTGATCAACCGATTCACTGATATGGTGCATAGGATTGAGCCGATATGTACCTCTATATTCAATACTGCTTATTTCCTGTCCGAAAAAATGTGCACATTTGAATGCTAATCCTAGAGTTTATATATTAATGTTTGTAAGAATCTGCCCAGGGTAGAAAATAAAAGCCCGGCTGAAGGACCAATGCAGGAACCTCCGGTACAATTGAGCAGGGCTTGAATATCACACGATCTACACTCACTTCCGGAATGATGACGGCGTCGCGCCGTCCTGAAGCCGTATAGCACTAACGTCTGTAAACTTCTGCAAATATAAGAAGCTGTTTTTTTTTGTCTAGGTAACAAACGCCATGACATCCTAGAGAAGGGTAACAGGGATTTTCGTTTGGAGTATTTTTTGCCTCATCATTAAAGTCTGACAATTTTAGCTGGCTATATCCGGTAAAACAGAAATGGACGACTGAAATTTCCTCTATATGTTGTTTTCAGAAAAAGGGACAAAAACACTTCAAGAAAAGTTTAACCTGTGCCAAACCTTGAATCCCGGCAACTATACTGTGTTTAGAGACTGGATTAGGGACACGTACGCTGTACTCGCTCTTGTTAACTACCCTGAACCTGGATCGCTTATAACCCCGCTGCCCGGAAGCCCTGTCAAGGTGAGGACCATACTGACTTTTGTGCGCCTACGTTACAGTACTTTTTTTACTGGGATCGAGAGAAATAAGTTGGTCGTTTAGGAATACATGTATCTTTGTGATGTTGTGGTTATTTGTTTTGTGAAACAAAAGTGTTTTGAAACTAAAGAAACAAGAATGTCCGCTAATCTGTAGTGTCAAATCACCAGAAGGAACCTACGAATGAAGTGAAATCGACTATATTTTGATGCAATAGCGTAAACTAGAAAGAAATTCACTACGCATACCAAATAGCCATGCTGAGAGTTCTGGTAAGCGTAACTATAAGTTTTGTAACGTCAAATCTTTAACATACGGGTTATTTGACATTCACTGGAACCGTTCTTGAGACTGCACAAATTGCGGCTCGTTGTCTACTCTTTAAATTGGTTGGCACGCGCCCATTTCTAAAAAAACCGAAGAATTAGAAAGACTCAAACTAAAAATCGTTAGGTGGTGTCACCTCAAGGGAAGCACAATAAAAGAACAATTCAGTGACTCAGCTTAGCTGCAAATTTTAGTATTTATACACATATGCTTATGATACGTATTCATTTGACCCGTTGAAGCCTAGGAGCGTTATGTCCAGCTTCTGAGCAGAAAAGCCATCACTTCATTTGATTCTGCAGAACCAAGCGCAGCTCTTTATTGTCCACGTCGTTCCGTGTTCCTGTTGGCATGTGCATTCTGTTTGTTATATTTCAGGCAGTCTGCAATGCGCTCACCAAAGCCATAGGAAACAGAAGTGCAATGGTGGACGCGGTCGCTGCGGCTGTGAACCTTTTTTTCAACAGCACCGGAACCAGGAAATGCCATGACGTTTCGATTTTTCAGTCAGCTGTGCCCAGCTGGAGATTTCAAGTAAGTCATCTGTGTACCCTGGCATACAATGCTGTATTCGCTATAGAAATAGAAATGAAAACACAAAGTTTACATTTATGGAATGCGGTTCCCATTGTTATAATTGATAACATTAAACTGAAGCTAGATTTACCACGGCTTATATAAAATTAGAGGCCATTATAGCGTTTAGTGGTACCTTCCGCAGAACTGCGTTTCCCGCATATCACGATGTTCTGTTCCGTTTTACCGTTCAATTGTAATGTTGAAGTCTCAATTTAGAATAGGCATTGCGACTCCTCTAACAAGCAATCATTGTCGTAGAGCCTTTCAAACTGTTTAGTGATGAAGCAAAGAAGGTTTATAAGATCTTATTGAACAACGAGACGGACTAAGATACCAGAAACTTTGTAGGGTAATTCTTGCTTTTTCTCGAACTAAAACTGGACAGGGTAATATAAAAATTAAAAAAAATTGATTTCAACTTATGATTGTAGGGATGCACCGAGCTGGTGATGCCCGTCTGCAGCGACGGCGTCACCGACATGTTTTACCCGTCCTCCTGGAACCTCACCGAGGTCACCGCAAAATGTCGGGAAACATTTGGCGTCACGCCCGACATTTACAAGAGCGTCATGTTGTATGGCGGAGGTCATTTGGCGAGGGCGACGAACATCGTCTTTAGGTAGGTTATCAAGTTGTTTCTCTAATTATAATTTAATTTCTCAGACCCGGATTTCTGAAAGTGTTAAATTTAAATGTAATTTGTTAAATTGGCAGTTTTGTCAATTTATTTATTCGAGGCTCCGTAAAAAATAAATTCGGTTTTCCCGAGTCGTGACATACTACACCGGTCCGTAGTGCAAAGCTATGAAAACAAATATGCGCTTAGCAGAAATTGAGGGAGGGGTCAGTTTTGTAAAGAGTGAACAACTGATCAAGACTACTTTTTCTGTTCGTAACAAGGCTCTGTATTTCGTTAGCACGTGCCCTCCCACTTACGAAAAATTGTACTCGATAACAAATTTTGAGGTAGTGCAGTCAAGGGTACGGGACAAGCGTCCTAAAACCTTTAAAGTAAGGCAAAAGGCCAATGTCGCTACTCTGACTGTCTTGTTTTTCATGGACGTCACATCACTTGTCTAACGAGAGAAAGAGAGGAGGGGGGAAGGCTGAGGCTTAGGCAAACGTATCTCACTGATTCACGCGCTAGCTTTCAGCCGTCTCTCAGATTTTCTTACGTTTAATGGGTACACAAATCTGCGCGCAAGCTAAAGGCTAGCACGTGCCACACTGAGGTTTCTTTGCCTAAGCCTCGTCTTTCCCCCTCTTCTCTCTCCCCCGTATGCCCGCCTTTTTTTCTCTCGCCCATATATTAGGAGACGTGACGTCATGGGCGTCCGCAGAGGGGTGCAAGGGGGGGGCAGTTGCCCACCCTTGGAATTTCGAAGGGGGTGCAGGAGGGGGGGGGGGGGGGGGAGGGAGCTGCACCCACACCAGTTAAAGGGTACTCCGGTGGTTTTTTACCTACCTAAACTAACTACATTTTCTGAATAACATGAACTTACTGTTCCCGGCAGGCTATTTTTTATCTAGAAATTCAAAATGGCTATTGAAAAAACGGCAAATCTAAAGGGCAAAAAAAAAAAAAAAAAAATAGTGTTAAGGAAGTTTTGACTACGTCGCGAGACCGGCAAAACTTGCTTTCGACGCGTTGTGTCTTTTTTCTGCGGCACCGCGCTTCCGTAAACATTTTCACGTGTTCTCAACGGAAAGTCTCACGGCTTACGGAGGGTTTTAAAAACTCCTTCGACGAATGATGACGAACGAGTAGAAAATGTGTCTTCAGCACGCTGCCGCTAGCCTCCGCAACGCTCCAAAAACGCGATTTTTCGACATGCAGGATTGCCGCCCAGTGGCTCCAAAGAGTTGTTATAATGTACGCTAGAGGTTCAACTGGCTCTAGTGTCTATGCGACTTCTGGGAGGCAAATTGAAGCAGACAGCAAACAGTCTACTTTTGCGGTGCTCCCGTGCATTCCTATGGGAAAACGTGCGTGAATTTTGTCTCTTCGTCAGAAAATAACACGAACAACTTCTGTTATTTTGGTTGTAAAGGATAGTACGTACCTTTATTAATATTGTAAAAGTGTAATTGCTTTAATTACAGTATTTTTCTTTACCACTGAATGATGTTAAGCTTCTTTATATTTCAGGACCAAACCTCTGTTCCATTGCAGGTATGTTAGAACGAGCGACGATTCTAAGCAAACTAACGATCGAAAGGAGTGTAGAGTGTGTTCAAGGTTCGCTAGCATTCCGGCGGCGCTTATATATTGCTAATATGCCCGTCCTGTCACTCTATGAAAATGACTCCGTCATGCATCTTTACGATCAGTTAAAGAACTTTTGAATGTAAAAAATAAAGTACGTGGGCTACGAAAGGTGCGTCTTTTTATTATCTCCTATGTCAGGCAGTTTTTATCGGGCACCTTTTCTCTGACTTCTCCCTATTTGCAAAGATATGGAGCGTGCGGTTGATGGTTTGAACCCAGAACATGCATGTTCGCAAATATTCATGACCAGAAAGAATAAAGCAGTACTTATTTATTGCTAATCGAACTATACTACATGGCTTTCAATTTATTTTGATCGCCTGCATACACAAGGAGTTACTTACCCAGTGTTACTGCGTAGTTCTTGCCGTCTCTCTTGGTTTCCCAGATGGCCTTCGTTCGTTTGACACGTATATCCCCCATGGTGGAAAGCGCCGACGCCGTGTTCGCGCTAACAGTGTCCGACTGCACAAAAGTACATGTACGAAGCGGTTTTAACACCGTTTTTCATGCCACGAATTTCAAATAAAAACGCCGTAACTGACCAATTATTTCGTGTGCGTGACTGAGAAATGTTTCAATGTGCCTAGTACGTACGAAATATTCGTGATATTTGCTCTTATAATTGAGCGCAGCGAGAAAATGCACCCGCTTTTTCCCATAGAAATGCATTACCGGAAGTCTATTGCCGACTGGTTGCTGTTTGCTTCAATTTGCAGCAGCACTCTCGCGCCAGTTTAACCTCTAGCGTACATTATAATAACTTTATGGTGGCTTCACTCGCGGAAGCGGGAAGCGCGATCCAGCAATTGTCATAGAGATCAACGAGTGTGCAGTAGGGTTGTGCGAATACAGTAAAACCTCGTTATAACAAAATGGGATATAACAAACTAATGGATATAACAAAGCAATCATAATTCCCCTTGCTTGCTATAGTAGGAAGAAATGGACATTGGCTGTAACAAACTAATGGTTATAACAAAATAATTATGACCGCTCCTTCAACTTTGTTATAACGAGGTTTTACTGTAGTGGTTCGAATCGAATAGCGCAGCGTCATCCCTAGCTTCTCCACTGCTGAAGGAACCGACCGTCTTAAATTTCCCTTGCATTGTCAAGCCTATGAATGACGCAGCGCTATTCGATTCGAACCACTATTCGCACAACCCTAGTGTGCAGTCCAAAATCCAGGGCGCGGCCGTGAAAGCAGGTAGAGAGTAACGTAGAAACATGCTGAAAATAGCCAACATAGCTAACATTCCCGGGGGGGGGGGGGGGGAGGGGGAGGGGCGGGGGGAGGATAAGTGTGCACCCCCCTGGAAAAAGTTCTGCGGACGCCCATGCGTGACGTGCATAAAAACGTTCCAATCAAAAGGACGATATTGGTCTATTGACTTACTCCACAAGCTTTCCGAATGGGCGTTGTCACCAAGCGCTGCTTTTGGAGCCTCTCCTCTCAGTGAATAATATCGCTCCTCGTGATGTGTGAAGCGGATTAAAGGCGCATTTTTTTAAATTTCAAGACGACAGGTTAATAAGCATTTCCGCTGGAAACGGAGCGACCGAGAGCTTGGAAGCTCACGCATCTCCAAGCGGTTTCAATCATGCAGCTTTTAGGAAACCAAGCGCGGAGACAATCACGTCCCTTTACAGAATGGCTTTCACTTGTTACAAGGGGCAAATGAGGTCAAGCTGCCGCCACTTTCAGCCGTGCTTATTTTGTTGGGCCGAAGCCGCAACTTTGATCCGTGATTTTTGTGAAACTTAATTTTTTTAGAGCAGGGATTCATCCTATAGTACTCCACATAAGTACGTTAAACCGTCCAGTGTGCAGGTTAAGGCATGACCACAAAAGGTTAATATTATTGAGAAACCACTATTTTAATTTGGTTCTCTGTTTGTACTTGAGTTCATTACTCAATGAAATTATATAAAATAAATGGTAAGCCAAGTTTCTCATCCGCACCCGACAAGATGCATCTTGTCGCCCTTTTTCATTTGGTGTTTAACAAAATTAATTGTCAGTCATGTCAAAATGTGTCTTTATTCTCAAACAAGTTGTTAGTTGATAACATATTAATTCAGGCAGGGGTTCAAAAGTTTCAAAGTGGTAAAGAAACACCTTGATAATGAAGATCACTTAGTAATCAAAGGATAGCCCAGCATTTAACGTGAAAGAAATGCTTGTCTAAGATTATATGAAAAGGAAAAAAAGATCCTTATACAATTTCAATGCATAATAAAATATGTATATTGCCGCGCGCAGGGTCACGGATTTGTAGAAGGTTCTCGTTTATTCTTGGCTGCGGACATAACTTCTATCGTTCATCCCTGCTTTTGTTTTTCTAGAAAGTGCGTGTTCATTCTCGCCCCAAAGCGCGCTACGCTCGAACCTTCTCCGCCGAATCTTCGAGACAATGACTCACTCTTGATAAGAGGCCGCCCGCGACCTTGTCGAGTCAGTCTTGCCCCAGCGTTCGAGTCTGCTGTCACGCCGACCTCGACGCCCGCGACACTCCGTTATCTTTTGTTTCCTTTTTATTTTGGGCACAAGTTCGCCCCATTAAACGTTTAGTTTCTTCAGTTATTATCGCCTCATCACTTGTCATTCGTGACAATATATTCATAAAACATATAGAGCCAAGAAAGAAAAAAAAAAAGAAGAGAGAGAGAGAACGAAAGGAATACCAACGAAAATACAGTTAGTGTTTTATGTATGGGTATTTTGGTATTTTTCCCTTACGATTTCATGTTATGACTTCAGTCTCGCAGAAGGATTTTTTTTGTGAAATGATTGATTTAATTTTGTAATTTTCTTCTTCGGATTTAGGGTTAAGTTCGTCTCATTTTCTTCCAGCAACGGCGACGTGGATCCTTGGGCCTCGGTCGGTCTCCTCGAACCCCCGTCAGACTCCGTCGTCGTCATCATCATTCCTGACGCCGCCCATCACCAAGATCTGAGGTTCTCAACTCCGCTGGACAGCGAGGCGCTCACTGCGGCTAGACGTGTCGAGAAGAACTACATTCGAAAGTGGATTGATGAGTCGCTGCCCGTCCCCGAGAAGACACCACGCGTGGTTGCTAAGAAGCGCGCCTCCAGCGTGCTGTTCAAGTTTTCGTTTTGACCGTGGCTTTTACTATGAGAGCGTTGAAATGGCACCTACCGTAAACAGAGGTTTTTTTTCTTTTTTACTATTGTCACAGTCATCTTAAAGAAAGTAGGGCATGGCAAATCCGGATAATCTTTTGTTATCGCTCCCGAACCGATGAGACTGCTTCATTAGCCGATAAGAACGGCGGAGAACCATTCACAAAGCAAGGCGCTTGTACATAATATGCCACACCCTGTCTTTGTTAAGTTGTCTCCAACCAAGTGTCTGGTGTCCGGACTCATATTAGGAAACGACGTAGTAATAATAATAAAAATTAAAAAAAAACACTGAAGCAACATTCATTCTCATGGATATAAAATTGAACAGAAAGATATACTTGGGTCGAAGCCAAGTAGACAAAGAGGGAAGCACCTAGATGGCGATTATTAAAATGGTCTAAAGTCACCGACACCTTAAGAAATGCAGTGTGTCGCGAACCCCTAGCATGGAGTTTAAGCATTAAAAAAAATGGTGTTTCGCAATTTTTTGCAAAAGTGGTGCACGTTACTATGGTATGTTCCTTAGTGGCTTGAATACATCGAAGCCACGACGAGAAGCAACTGAGCTGGTGTGTTTGGGACATGTTTACGATACTAGAAAACTGTAGTACCGGACGACGTTCCAAGCGCAGTTTGAAATATTTATTTCTACTCATTCTAGCACAATGTATGCAGACACATTTTTACGTCATAGTGACGAGGGGGCGAAAGGGAGGGGGGGGGGAGGGGAGTGTTTCTCGTTTACTGATGATAATGATTGAGGTTGTGAATGTCGGTTTGTGTATGAACAAATGTCCTTGTTTCTAGAAACTAGTACATATATGTTTATCTTGGTCGATTTCTTTCCTCCGACTCTACAGTGACCGCGAATAAACATGATCGTGTGACTGTATGACAATAAACATAATCATATTGCAGTATGGAAAAAAATATTTACGAGGCTGGAATTACGGAGCAATCTAGCCCATTTTTATGAAGAAACGCAGACTGCCAACATTCACTCGTCTGCGTAGTGCGTACTAGGGCTGCTTGTGGTAGAGGCATAATAGACCATTCCTTGGCGACTAGAGCCGCAAGAAAGAATAAAAGGGCATGGTAAAAGTCATATTAATTCTTTAAATGTTAAAAAAAATCGCTCTTGCAAAAAACAACAGCAACAACAACAAAAGGAAGCCGGCGTTCTTCTACCTGCAAAAAACATAAAAAAAAACAGCACAAAGTAATGTTTATGTTTGTCAACACCCTTCTAATACAAACATGAACCTTTCAAAACACACAAATCAGGTTGAAAAAAAAAACAAAAAAAAACACCACATTCTAGCAACACAGGCGTACCGTATTTTCCGGGCTATTCGCAACTCCAGCGCGCCGCTCGCCCTCCTGCGGACGAACGGAGAACCAGAGGAGCGGGGACGGCAGCGGCGGCGGCGGCGCGGAAACGGTGGTAGGGACTGTCGGCTTTGATGCGTGAAGCCGTTTTAACGTAAAAAGTGAGCGCGTTAAAAAAGGAATTCTTGTGCTCCGCCTTGAAACAGCCTTGCACGAAGGACCGGGAGGTCTAATTTCATTAGGGACTTTTCGTGTATCGCATACGCTGCGGATTTCGGGTCTTGTGCATGGCCGCCAGCTCAATCTGTGCTTAACGTGACGGAAAACGCTCCCGCTAATAATGAAGAACTGTATAGTACAGTCTACGGAAAGTCTATTCTTTGCCATAACTAGGAGAAAACTCGTCGCGCAACGGTATGTCGAGCAATACAAATCGGGAATGGGTTCGCGTTTAAGGCCGTTCCAAGGAACATGACCATTTATTCCAAGCACTTTTAAAACATAGAATACCCGTACTTGCTTTCAGGTAATTACAGAGCAGAAAAAGAAATGTTCGAAGCATTTTAAGCGCGTCTGTGTTAGCCAGCCGTTTGTGACGAGAGCTTAGAACGCGCAGTTTTGGCCAGGAGGACCGCAATGTTGCAAATAACACGGTACAACAAATGTACGGTATATTAAAATATTTTTTTGACAAAGCAATAAATAAAACTCCTAAACATGCCGATTATGTTAATAGACAGTTTTTGCATAGCGTACGACACCCATAAACTTCAGTTGGGCGTACAGCGCACTGACGTTCCACCGGTGCTACCAACTTTCACGAGCGGCTCGATAGCCGAGTTGTCCAACTTATTAAAATAGCTTAAGTAGGTGTAAATGACTGTAAAAAAAAAAGAAGAAAGTAATCGGGGTTTTCTTGGCCCTACTGCAAAACCGCGGTGTTTTTTGTTTTGTTTTTCCGAACTCTTTAATGCGTACTTTAGCTGTTTAATATCTTATATTGCGCCGTCATCAAGCCTCTCGTAAAAGTTGGGGCCCTCAGCTTGACGTGAGTGGGCTGCACGGCGAACTGAAGTTTTGGAGTGTCATATATGTGACAAAGGGTGTAAGGACTACAACATTTTTTTTTTTTTTTCCTTAGAGCGATGAGCACGGCGACGCTTCTGGCGTGCACTGAAAATTGTGCTTCAAAGGCGCAGCGCGAGCTTGCGGTTGTAATGCTACACCGCATAATAAGCTGCGGTAATAAACTTTTTATCAGTAACCATAGAGCAGTTTGATTACGTGTTGCAATAGACTAAAACCGAGACGGCAAGCAGCGATTTGAGAGGCTGTGACGCGACGACATCAATATTATGTATTGCTGCTCTTCCGAAGCTTGACGGTCACCGTTCGCGGCTTTCTTTTTAGAGCACTAATGGCCAGTCAAAGCGCAAGCATACCTTCATCACCTTCTAAAATATTCTGCCACAAACAGTAACGTGGCCGGTGCCTAAAACGCGCTCGGTCACCACAAAGCTTCGCACTTTGAGGCTTCTGCAACTTTTAAATAACAGCATGCTCGTTTTCTTAACGTGCATCAGCATCTCAGTCACCTGTAATATGATCCCTCCCTAACCGCGTCGCATTTGTAGACAAATAAATCATTTTTAGCGCGCTGAACAGCGTTAGCGAGCAGGCGCATGGGATATCCCGGAGAATCTATCCCCGTCTCTTCCGCCATCTTGGAACAACCGACCCGCCACCTATAGGGCGTTGGAGTTGCGAATAGTTCGCAGGGTCAAATTTGGGGTCAAAAATAAAAGTTTTTGCTTAGATAGTCCACCCCCGGTGCATAGTCCGTACGCTGTGCATAGTCCGTATCTGGTGCTTAGTCGAGAAGACAATCTTGTCATACACGGCACACATTGGCAGATGTCTGCTTTCTTAGCTCATAAAGGAGCTTGTATTATACATAAATCTTCGTTAACACACTCTTTCATTTACAAAATCTGTCACGTCTCGTCATAATGAATGATTTTGATAAACAAAGTTTCTGTAGAGCCCGCACGCGTAGATAGTCAGCAATGACTAAAATTTAAACTTCCAGACATTTCTAGCCCGTGGACTATAGCTTGGAAAATACGATAAATTACTTCGTGACCAGCGAACTGAACTATAGCATCAAAAGCAAAATAACAGTGACAATTGTGCTGTTCTGTGACAAATATGCACTTTACAAACAACTTTTGGACACTATCTCGGTAAGGAGGGAGCAGTTGATGTTCACACTTTTTTTTTCACTTTTGGGCATCTCTTTTTTGTCTGGGATCCCGCGAATCCCAATTGAAACAGTTGAGAATTGAAGGAATTCAGGTCTTGTACCCGAAACTGCAATTCCAGCATGGCGTAAAAAAAAAAAATGTAAAAGGGGTTGCGCGTTTTGCAGAAGTCATTTTGATCTGCTATATCAAGTCGGCAAGGGATAATCTTTCTTTCTAAGGAATATATATACCCACCGAGAAACGCTCGAGATAGGTCAGACAGAAACATAATTGAACATTGTTACTTGCGTCAATAAATGAAAAGAAACAAGAAGAAAACATTTCCCTCTGCGTATTTATCACAATTGCTGTTGATAAATGATCCAGCAGGCTCCACCATTCGGGAAAAAAAAAAAAGAAAAGGGGGCAGGAAACCACCGTCATCAAGAACAAAAAAGTGGTTCTACTCGTCCTAGGACGAAAAAGATATACACATCAAACGAAGAGGTCAGATCATCTTTATTTTATTTTTATCTGATCTCCTATTCCCCAGGGCGGTGTTTGACCGCTTGTCGGTACCCGGCCGATATTTTGTTGTTCCTACTTGAGCGGACGAGCTGGCCGCGTGGATCAGTTCCTTGGCTCCAATGCCGGTTTTCAGATGCCTCAACAGTGCATTCCTCGTCTTCACTGCAATCCTCTACGTGTACGCTCACAGAGATTACCAAGTGTCTTACATCAAGCAGAAGGTGAGTAATATTGCCGAACCTTGAACAAATTTACGAGGACAGTGTTTTTTGTTTTTTTCGAACGCCTGATTTCCATCTTATGTCCGGTGTTACGCGAAGCATAGGCTAACTTTACGGAACGTTTTTGTTCCAGCTTCTGATGTTTCTTCTTTTTTTTTTTTTAAGTTAATCTAGTTGAAGTTGCCGGGGGAATTGTGAAAACGGGATGGTGGAAAGGCACTCTATATTTTTCTGTTTTGTTTTTTATGATCCACCTAAGACTGCGACAGTGTCTGGATCCTAGTACTCTAGATAGTCACTGATAGGTAAAACAAAAAAACAAAAAAAAAAAGGAAGTGGCAAATACCGATCAATTATCACCGCTCCGTGGCCAATGAAATTGCAGGATTTGCCGGTAAGAACTCTAACGAAACAATCACGAATCGGGAAGTGTCAGAATAAGAGACCATGCCCCGCGTTCCTTAAGCAGTCTTTCACTATACTACTTCGGTTGCGAACGTTAGTCGTTAGTTTTAATTATTACCACGCGTCACTTGCTCGTTTTTATAAGACTCGCATCTACATTACTTGAATTGATTTTTCTATTTATTTTACACTCTAAAAAATGTTTGTGCGTCTACTTTCACGAACAACTCGGAGAGCCAATCACCTCAACTTACGCAGGCAGCTCAGCGAATGACGATGCGGAAACATATGTTTAGACCAAAAAGCGCAGTCTGAGTTGTGACATTAAGCAATGCAAAACGTCACGCTTGCATTGCTTAATGTCACAACTCAGTCTGCGTTTTTTGGTCTAAACATATGTTTCGGCATCGTCATTCACCGAGCTGCCTTCGTAAGTTGCCGTGATTGGCTCCCCGAGTGTTGTGCGGGAAAGTGGATGCACGGTTTTTTTTTAGAGTGTAGACGGCTTCTGGCGAAATTCACAGTAGCAGCGGTTTCCTATGCCTCGGTAATTCCTCATTGTATTTTTTTTTCGTGATTCGTGATTCAGACAATGTCGCAGTCTTGTGGCTCTTCTCGATCTGAGCAAACGCCATCGGCGTTTGCTCTTAATAGACGAGACATTGATTTGAATACACTTTATAAAGTAGTCGGCGGAAGTGACTCAGAAGGGCAGTTTAGAGAAATGTATATAAAATGGCGAAATCGACAGGCTGGCAGCCTGGCCCGAAACTTTCTTTGTGTTACAAGAGTAGGTACACTATTATTGTTTTTGCAATATACTTAAGAGAGGCAAGCTACTATACAATTTTCATTTTCCTATGTAGTTGTGCAACGAAAACGCCTGATTTACACGATTTAAATAAAAGATATAAATATTAGATTACACATAAAATAAAAAAAAAATTGGGAAAAAGTTTGTATATATATATATTTTTATACAATACAAAATAAACAGGGGCAGCTTTCATTCGTCCGAAGAAAACGCCAATCCCCAGATATGAAGAAGATCCTAGTATAGCTCGCTTTCATGCTAAGAAAACATGTCTGGTGAAGACAACGCAATGCAACATGACGTTTAGTCAAATGAACCATTTCGCAACACACTGATTTGAGACTAAAAACCCCGTTAAAATCAATACGGATCCCCATCTTTCGATAAAAGCGCGGTATTTTACTTCCCGTGGCCTGCGTGATTTTAATTAAACAGTTTTAATTTCTCGTCTAGGTGGACCACTTCAGCTTCAGCAATCCCGACAAGTTTCGGCAGCGATATCTGCTCTACGACAAGAGCTGGAATGGCAACGGTGGTCCAATATTTTTCTACACTGGCAGCGAAATGAACGTCGAGGTCTTCGCGAATCAAATGGTTTGTTCGAAAAAATATATAGGCAAGAACACGTGACAGGCGCGATAAAATCTGTACAATCTCAGTTTGTGTTAGAACATACCCGGTTTTACTTTCTTTTCTAGTTGTAGTGTGTATTTTTTCCTTTCCTCTTTACTTTAACCCTATTTTAATATTGTAGTCCCTTAAACGAAGAAAAACTCCCTATTCTTTTTCAACATTTTATATAAAATGAAACTTGCGTTATTTTAAGGCGCCTATTGATTTAGAATAAAAAAATTAAGGAAAAAATAAGCCAAATCATTGAGAGTAGAAGAACAAGATGTTAACAAATAAGTTTCTGTTTGACCACATCAAGTGTGGCCACTGTGTATGTGCCGTGCCGACAGCAGAAACACCACAGCGTCATAACGTCAAAGCCGCGCGCTGGTGTATACGTGCATTTGCGTTCTTAGCGAACGCCCTGGATTAAAAGTAGCTCTAGTGTCGTTTAAAAACGTCTTTAGTAGACGAGTAATGTCAAGTTTGAAGATAGCGGGAATGATATAAATTATATAAGAAAAACAAAAGTAGTTTTAGTGTTATTGATTTAGGCGGTCACAAGAGACTGCTGCCAAGTTGAGGGATGCTCTATCAGATGGCGCCACCTTTCCGAATCGCAGTCAGACGTTCTAGGTTTGAGAGAGGGAGCACTCGAACCATGAAGTGCGCTCGTAATTTAATGGCGGACTACACGGCATGGTTGCAAGTGTGCCTAAGTGCATTGTCACGTGTCGAGAAGGAGGGTGGGCACAGAGGGAGAGCAAATCGTCTACTAAACGCTCGACACTTTGTACAGCGAAAGCGACCCATAAATTGCGTGACTCAGATCGACCAGCTGAAACCACTCTGAAATCTAGGCACAGCAGTCGCAGCTGCTGGGCTGCTTCGACGCCAGAAATCTCTTTCGAAACGCTAGATTTCGGTGCCAAATAGGATGATGAATGGTGGATAGTGCATGGATCTTTGTTCGTCATATCACCAAAGGTTAGGTGGGGAAAGGCGGGGGGGGGGGGGGGGAGGGGGGGGGGGGGCAAGGCAGCGTAAATGGGACGTTTGCGGCAGCGACGTGGACAACGAGCACAGTACAGGGGTTTGTTCGCCCGTGCTGCACTACTCTTCCAAAAAAAAAAAAAAAAAAAAAAGATTACCTATACTGTTTTATCAGTCTCTATTTCTTGTGAAGTTCTATGTAGAGTATCACGAGAACATGAAATCGCAATGTGTCAGTGTTTTGCGTAAGGTGTAAAGTTATTTTAGTACCTACTGATGCTGTTTCCAACCAAAGGAAAAACTTCATCTCTCTATTTTTACGTATATCTGGACTTTAGTTGATCTCATTTCAATAAATGTCTCATAAGTAAACAGCATGGTATGTGATACTGTTCTCTCAAAGAGGGGGGACATTATGCCCTGATTTGTTTTCATGCGTTGAGTGAAGGCTACTGATGCATTGCAATATCGCAATATCATTTGAAACTTCAGTGAAAAAGGCGATAATAAAATCATATTCTTTCGAGGTATATTGATATTCGTTGAGTTTATATCCACAAGTGAATACTACACTATGAACGTTTACTGTCATAGAGGGAACATTATGTCTTTTTGTTCAATCTATATTGATATTCTTTGAGTTAGCGCCGCATTCTACCTGTGATTTTTTAAATATATATTGATATTTATCGGATTTATTGCCTGATTATACACTAGAAAGAGTGTACACGGTACTTTCCACTCGGAGATCGCTCGTTTTGACATATAGATTAATATTCGTTGAGTCCGTTGCCATCGAAGTGTCATATGCATAGCGCCTGATCGTTGCTCTTATCTTTATTATTTTAAAGGGAATGATGTACGATTGGGCCCCCGAATTCAAGGCAATGCTTGTGTTTGCTGAGCACCGCTACTATGGCGATTCTTTGCCGTACGGAGAACAGTCATTCAATGTAAGTATTCCCATTAGATTGGAAATTCCAGCAGGCGACTGGCTTAATATTTCTGCATAATCCACGCAAACATTCGGCGCATCATGACAACAATTGCGCAGTTCGCTGAAGAGCTTTCGTGATTTTATGATTGCAACTAATCGTGCACTGATGTAGTCATTATTGCATAGCTAGGAAAAATGAAAAAAAAAAGATATGTTAACACAAAAAACAATATATGAAATATTACATTCTTAGAACGAGCACCCAATGCATCAATATATTTTTACATGCTCAAATCTTTGCAATTCGGTATAATCTTGAGGTGTTCTTTCCTGCGCTTGCAAGGCTGTCGCTGACAGCGTTGGAAGCGCAGGGTGAGGCGAGTATCGAGTGTCTTCTCAGTCTCATCGTCGGTCCGTAGCCGATCAGATTGTGGCATGAGCTTTCAAGAGCACAAAGGAGCGAACTAATATCAATGACCACGCCTCAAGTTTCTTAACATGTCGGTGACCATAGAGCCGTCGCCTTTTCTGACACTGTGACAAAATTACCAGCCCCTTACTGAAAGCACTAGAAGGAGAACAACGAAAATTTCAGTTCTACATCTGCAAGAATATCATCATGAAAGTTAATTAAGAATAGTTCACCAATAATAAATTAACCCGACCTATAAGAAAAAAAAGGGGACTCCGAAAACCGGATTGCTTACGTTCAATTCGCGCGAGAAAAACGACACACACGTTTCATTTTTGTTACAACGACATCGGATTTAATCAAAACGATCAGAAGGCGCCAAGTAAAGTGATAAGGTGATGCAAGATTTAATTTTTCAAATGAGTGGTAACCATTGATTTTGTTTAATAGATTACCAGCCTATATATGACATCATTTGATAAGTCTCTTTAGCTGATAATGAACATCATACGATTTACTGTATAATCCGAAACCCTCAGTTTTAGCGTTCAGAATATTATCACTTTTGAAATATTTCCGTCTGTGCACGCCTTCCGATGATATAAAAATTCATACAGCAAGACTTTAAGATCGACTTTATAAAAATATTGTCACATTACACAATTTACGCTTACGAGGTAAAATGAAACTGACTATATATTACTTTGTCAGAAGGTGGTTCTTCGTTGACGAAACTTGGAATTAAACCAAGTTACGAAGTCGTTCTCATAAATATGTTATTGATAATATTTGTGTGACTTTAGTCATGCGAAAGTGTCATGTGCGAGGGCTCACTTCGCGAGTGAACGTTTTCCTTTCGACGAACTGCCTTTACAGACAGTCGCACTCTTTTGCGACGCCGTCTGCTTTGTTTGAACGGCGTCTTGCCAGCGTCCTGAAAACGCACCTCTACCTGGGTCACGTTCGATGATCCACCATTCATTTGTTTTAGGCCTGAGGGTTGCATTTTTTTACTTTACTATCTTCTTTGTCACAGTCACCTGAACTGGAGCTTTTCCACAGCCTCCTGTGGCTACTTCCGTGCCCTTCACGTTATCTAATTCTGGACATATTTCGAAACGTGCCATAAACCTTCCGAGGGTTTCAATGACTCCTGAATTGTTCGGTCATCGGACACGTCAGCGGTAGCTGTGATAGTGTTCTCTTCGGATGCTTCACAAAACAAGAGATGTTCTGTACTGCCTTCTTCAATTACCCTTCCAGCACTCGGTGTGGCTTCGTTTGCGGTTTCCAAGAGTCGTATATAACACTCTATAAACAACCATATGAAGGGCAACGCGGCCGTTAGCACACAAAAGAAACACGCTGTATTTACACAAGAAACGCTAGGTATAGTATGACTTTGGTGGATTAGTTACAGGAATGCACGTTCGACCGATTGTTCACGCAATATCGGATCACTGCTTTGATGTTGCTCACTACAAAAAAAAAATAAAAATAATAAACAGAAATTTTACTGTGAGAATTTATCGCTTTCTTGTCTTCTGGCGCTGGGTCTTGAGAGGTGTTGGTCGATGGGACAGCGACAAAGCTGGTGCCGGAACGTCAGGGTGAAGCTTGAAGCCGGTGGGTCGGATGCGGCGTTGGCGCGGTTGGAGTAGATGGGGCGAAGGGGCTGGTGTTGTCCTGAGGTGTGCTCCTCAACACGTGCACCGAATTCAAACTGGGGTGAAAACCTCATCGGAGCTGGAGGTCAGGCCAGGCGGAAGCCTTGATAAGCTCGGGCCGTAGCCCGACGGCCTTTCGCTTCCTTGCCCTGCTGCTTCCGGTGTGATCCCGCACTCCGAGCGATTCGAGAGCCGCTTCCTCTCTGTCGTCCTCCTCGCATCCGCACGAGCAGAATCGACCGGAGGATGGCACATGCACACTCATGCCACCTGAAGCCGCGTTCGATTGTGCGCGTGCCGATGCGAGGACGACGACAGAATAGAAGCGGCGTTCCAGTCGTTCATAACGCGCGACCATGGTCGGAGGCAGCAGGGTGCCGAAGGGAAAGGTTGGGCTACGAGCCCGAGCCTTTCAAGGCTTCCACCTGACCTGACCTCCGACTCCGGCGAGGCCTTCACCCTAGTTGAAAGCTGGTACATGTGTTGCGGAGCACACGCCAAGACCATAGCGGCCCCGTCCACGCCAACACGTCACTCCAAGGCACGACGCCCGAGCCAGCACGGCCTCCAACCAACCGGCTTCAAGCTTACTCCGCAACTTGCCGGCACCTGCTTCGTCACCACTTCATCGACCAACGCCTTTCACAACGCAGCGCAACAAGGCGAGAAAGCGTTAAGTTTTCACAGTGTACTTTTGCGTTGCTTTAGGTGAGCAATATTGAAACAGTAAGCCGGTATTGCGAGCAGAATCGGTCGAACGTGCATTCCTGTCGCAAATTCCGCCAAAATCATGCTATTTGGAGTTTTTTCTCGTGTAAATAAAGTGTGTTTTTTTTTGTGTGTTCTAACGGTCTTGTTGTCATTTATTACGGGATTTAAAACCCGGGAGTATTTAATTTAGAACTTCGAATTTACATATCATTACATAAACAGTAACACTCATGTGCTAGAATATGCCCCAAAATTTGAATCAAAGTTCTGGTTCTCATACACAGGGAAGGGAGAAAAGAGGGTACTTGACAACAGAGCAAGCCTTGGCTGACTTCGCGTACCTGATTCAACACCTGAAGTCGACAGTGCCCGGAGCTGAAAAAAGCCCTGTGGTGACTTTCGGCGGAGGGTATGGTGGGATGCTTGCAGCCTGGATGCGGCTACGTTATCCACACCTCGTCAAAGGGTTATTTTTATTGATCACATCTACTATCTCTCTTGTGTGTGACCTTTATTTAGGATAAAAAACTTTTTAACTTATTTGTCTAACCTTCACTCCAACCCAATCTGCTTTAAAACAGCACATGAATTCAGTCATTTAGATTGCGATGTTACTAACAGCAGAAACCAGGGTGATAATCTATTTTACATTAGTGCATCGAAATGTCCGTGTATATCGAGGCCAATTCAAACAAACATTTCAGAACCTTCGCGGTAAATTGTCCGAGGGCTAGGTTCCGTAGGCTGTATTCTAAATTAAAAAAAAATAAAGAAACTAGATTTTATTTTTAGAGAATTCAATTGTGCATTCAAGCCTAGTGATATCAAGTTCACGTAAATTTATCGTATGATTATGTTTCAATGTGTCCCTTATAAAAACATAAATTGTTATTTAGAGTATTGCAGGAGCATTTTTTCTTAAATAATGGGAAAATATTGCAAGACGTTTCTTAGTCGTTGTGTAAGTGGTTATGAAAAAAATATTTCTACGTACCAGAATCACCTTTGGAAATAACGAAGAAAGCCTTTTTTGGTTTAAAGAAACTTTTTTAAATGAAGGCGTTGAATCCGCAATGCTTATTTAAGATAAGATTTTTTACGCTGCTAGTTATATTTGTTGGTGGAAAATTTGCTTGAGTTCTGTACTTCAAATTCAAATTAACCACTGCCTTTTCTTAAACATTGTTAGCAAGGAATGAAAAAAAATATCTGCCATTCACTTTGCTTTTTTAATATTGTTTTCTAAATTTCAAGTAACTTTATAAGATGTTCAAGAAAATGTTTATTAGGATTTCACGAGAAGCATTCAGTCCAACCTTCGTATTCGTTTAACAAAAGTCTGTCTATGGTCTCTACGCTTATATGATTAAGACCGTAGGGCAGAATAGAATATTGCTCAGGGCTAAAGTGTCCCTTCACAACATCTAACTCTAATCTAGAGAAGCGAAGACCTCAAAATTTACAGGACAGACCTGTGCCTTCTAAACAGGGCTTACGCATCTGGTGCTCCAATCGCCTACTACAGCGGCGAAGTTCCCTGCGGAAAGTTCTCCCGAGCCGTCACGGACAGTTACAAGAGCCAGTCTCAGAACTGCGCTGCCAGCATCCGGAAATCGTGGAACATCATGAGCAAGCTCGCGGAGTCGCGTGAGTTTACACTGCCTACACTGTAGACGATCTGACTATTCTCAGAAACCGTCTTTACAGATAACAGAAGGTTGGGAACCAACTAAAAACACTCAGGCTGATATTAAGACAGTCAGAGTTGAGATGATGATTGCTGCTATTCATGATAAACTTTTCAGCGCGAGGTGTGGACAAATGATATTCGTTAAAGATAAATATTAAAATGATTTGTCACTTTGTCACTCCTTTCTTAAGGTACGTACTGGCGTAATGTATTCTAGTGCTATGCCAACTCAATTGAAGAAGGCAGCAGAGACATGATTGTCGAACGGTTAACATATTCAGAAAGTATTTTAAACTGTGATGAGTTTGAGGGCAGAGTATACAATTCTTTGTGTTTTGTACCATAGTTTAATAAGAAAACCGGGCATGCAAACTATACGAACTTTAACTTTTATGTGTGTTACAGTGCCTTGCGTTTGTGTAATGCCATCGGTAATTAAACTCAAAACAATGTGTTCATCTTCATGTTTCTCGCTTTAAAGGGATGGTGAACCGTAATTTGGATTTCAAAAAACAATGCTGGAGATGTAGGCGGGACACTAGAATCCCTACAGCACTATTAGTAAGGCGATATCTCAAATGGACGGCCGTATTTTTGGAAAAAGAAGTCGAGATTGAACCAGGCCGACGAGGCACGTGACGTCAAGGTACCTAGTTTCCTCCTCTCTTCGTTTCGCTCCCTCAAGGCCGCGAGGCGGAGGAGACGCGAGGCCGTTCCCTCTCCTTCTCGGAGAAACATGACGTCAACATTCCTGCCAAATGCGTCTCTTTTTCTGAAAAATACGGCCATCCGTTCGAGATATCGCTGTATGAGTGATGTTTTGGTGTTTCTAGCATCACGTTGCACGCTCTTGGCCGCGTGTTTTGGGGAATCCAGATTTCGGTTCAGCATCCCTTTAAAAGACAACATTGAGTTTAATTTGCTTCATGGCTCAAATTAAAAAAAAAAAAAACTATATTGGTTGTTTTTTAATTACAGAAGATGGACTCGAGTTCTTGACAGAAACATTCCAGTCGTGCCAGCGGCTCAGCAAAGACAGCATGACTCATTTGTATCAGTGGCTCAAAGAGGCTTACGAGACACTATCCATGCTGGACTACCCGTACGAGACAGAGCTCTTTGGGAAGCTACCGGCACACCCGGTCAAAGTAGGTCAAACAGCTTTTATTTATAATGTTGTTTTCTTATATCCAAACTTAGTTGACCTACTTATGTTTGTGTGCGACTAACGTGTGAAAATAATAACATCTTAACGTCATTCACCACGATCTTTTGCAAGTGAAATATATGTCAAATCATACATGGATTGGTTTCTTTTACTTGTAAACTTTGACAAATTGAGTGGATTGATAAAGAAACAACATATCTACACTTACCTAGTTTAAAAGTCGAAAGCACTATCATGTGATGCATGCTTTTCATCACAACTTATTCCGACCTTGCGCGCTAATCTGGTATTCAAAAAACGTACTTATTATATCTGAATATTTCTGATTATTACACAAGCTCTCCTTCATGGAGCTCAGTGCGTTTACAGCACTGACGGGTGCTCCTTTCCGCACCTGTCAGTGCTTCAAAAAACAACTCAAATTGTTTTGAATATTGAACCCCGTGTAGACCAACGTCGAATTCTCGGCGATTTCGCAAAAAAAGGCCGACGAAGTACTAATATTCGTAGAGTGGCTAGTTGTGACTCAGGACACCGGAAAAGGAGTCTTGTAAGCCCCAAGAATGTTTCCCTGATCAAAATGGATGCTTCTCAAACATAAAAGTGCATTTCAGGACATCAGAGCAGAGAGCTCAATACCTAGTTTTGACTGTAAGATGTTTGAACTCTACCAACGTTTGTAGCATTGAACAAACAAACGTGCTTTCGCATTTCAGGAAGCCTGTCGCTTTCTGTGGAACCCACTCCAGTCAGACAAAGACCTCATCCGCAGTCTCCACAAGGCAGCGTCCATCCTCTACAACAGCACGGGCAACGCTGCGTGTTACAGCATAGACGCCAACGTGGGGGTCCACTCAGGCTGGAGTTTTCAGGTCAGGCACCTTTTCTCTCGGCGTCGGAGGACACCACAGCTTGGCCAATGCCACCCGCTACTGATAACCGCTAATCGGGGAGATTGCACTCGGGCTGTAGCTTACAGGTCAGCAACGCGACCTTGCCGAGTCAAATACCCAAGATGTCACGAGGAGGCGAGATAGCCGCTTGTTTTGAAACTAGACTCCCCCGGATTCAGCTATCTTTGCAGTGGAGTGGCGAATGTGATACCAAGAGCTGACACTTACGAGCAGGGGCTATCCCCTGTTTACCTTGGAAGGGGTCGTGAAACGACGTTGAGTTGTAATGTTAATGACTTTACATACGCGTACTAGTCCTAATCTCGCACGTGTATACTCGCACGGACAGCCACTTAATCAGGAGTTCCTTGGTCGCGGTGAAATTGGGATGATAAAATGGGACTATTTTTTTCAGTCTTGCCTTCGCAAAGTTTGATGACGTAAATGTGGGATCGAAATCGCCCGCCTGACGACAGTCGAGCGCGGCTCATGAATTGGACACGAGAACTGCGTGAGCACTCGACTTCGGCTCGGAACAATCAATGCCTCGGCGGACCCTCGGGTAGTAGTTCGTGTCCAAGCACTGCGGTGATGAGAATAGCCGAACTCTAACAATGCCTGGAGCTCAGCACGCGTTTTCTACTTAGCCGATCCTAGCACGTGGCTATGATTAACGTTGGCGGTATAGGATAGGCAACAGGCTACGTGGCTGCTGTTCTGGATTCGAGTTGAGGTGATGAACGTTGCTCATATCTATCGAATTTATTTGCCGATTGCCATTGCTTAGAAAACAAATAACTAACACAAGTACTTTATGTTATTAACGTTAGGGATTTGTTCTTAGCAGTATTTAGCGAAAGTAGAAAACTCGCTTCATAGACCGCTTAAGCTGAGACTGCAGCCAATGTCACAAGCACTATAGCACGAGGTTGCTGCTTTGAAACGTTATCCCACAGACCGACCACTCGCGCTAGGAATGTTCTTCTCAAAGCCAGCAGTGCGGGCTAGCTCGAGCTTGTAGCTTCGAAGCCTTTATTTATTTATTTTATTTATTTATTTATTTATTTCAATACCTTCAAGGCCACACGGCATTACAGAAGGGAGTGGGGGAAAAACAAAAGTACAAAAAATAGAATTCAACACATATTAGTTAACATAATAGTTTTCAATGGCAGACTTGAATGCAGGAGCGTCTGTGATTGTGGCGATGGAGGTGGGCAGGTGGTTCCAGTCATTAGTAGTTCTTGGGATAAAAGAATCAAAAAAGAGCTTCGTGCGACTGAAAGGAACGTTGACTTTATGGTGATGATCATTTCGATGGGATACATACGATGGTTCAGAAAAAAGCTCTTCACTTAGATGCTGGTTGTGATGATAAATTTTGTGAAATAAGGACAAACGAGATAATTTTCTACGCAATGAAAGATTCGGAAGATGTAAAGTTAGTTTCATGGATGATACACTGGAAAAACGCGAGAAATTAGACAAAATAAAACGTGCGCCACGATTTTGTACGGATTCAATTTGATTAATTAGAAATTCATGGCCTGGGTCCCACACCGAACTCGCATACTCAAGCTTGGATCTAACGAGGGTCTTGTACAGTAGTAGTTTTAAAGATGAAGGAGCTCTTGAGAAGTTGCGGCGTAAGTAACCTAGCATGCGATTAGCGTTGTTAGCAATAAAATTAATGTGAGTTTGCCAGGAGAGGTCAGATGTTATATGGACACCTAGGTACTTGTACGAGGTCACCTGCTCAAGAACAGAACCAATGTTGTATTGTGGAAAGTTAGTACAGGCAGCTTTCCGTGAAATTCTCATTACTTTACATTTGCTGGCATTAAGGCGCATTTTGCAGACGTCACACCAGTTAGTAATGGAATTTAGGTCAGTCTGAAGAAAAGACGTATCAGTATCAGAATAGATTACACGATAAATGACACAATCATCTGCAAACAACCTTATGGATGACTGGACATTGTTAACGAGGTCATTTATGTATATGAGGAAAAGAAGGGGGCCGAGGACGGAACCTTGCGGCACACCCGAAGTAACAGGGCAGGGAAGAGAGTCTGAGTCGTTTGCAGTTACAAACTGTGTTCTGTTAGAGAGAAAATTTTCGATCCATGCAAGAATGTTAGAGTCAATGTTTAGTTTTTTTAATTTTAAGCAGAGCAGTTGGTGAGGGACTAAATCAAAGGCTTTCGAAAAATCAAGAAATATGCAGTCGATTGAAAGGTTATTGTCTAGCGCAGAGAGAACATCGTTCGTGAAACAAACCAGTTGCGTTTCACATGAGAATGATTTACGAAAACCATGCTGACGATATGTGAAAAATGAGTTGGATTCAAGAAAGTTAACTAGGTTAGAATAGATGATATGCTCCAACATTTTACATGGGACACTAGTTAAAGATATAGGCCTGTAATTAAGAGGAGAGTGAGCATCACCTGATTTAAACAAAGGTACCACCTTACCCACCTTCCAATCGCTGGGCAACAAACAAAGATCTAGGGACTGCGAGAAAAGTTTAGACAGTATTACAGAAGAGAGCATTTCAGTGTTCTTCAGAAATTTAGAATTAATCCCGTCAGTTCCAGATGAAGAAGAAACTTTTAAATTTTTTATTATGCTAAGCACACCAATGCAATCAATTATAACAGGATCCATAAGTGGAAAGGCTGCAAGATTATATTCAGGGCAAGAAACAAAAGACTGTGGCATAAAAGACTGAGAAAACACATCATTTAATAAATATGAACATTCCGACCTTGGAACTGAGACTCCATTATCGTTGATTAGCGATATCACACTCTCTTTTTGTCCACCAATTATATTCCAAAATTTCTTAGTGTCATTTGTCAATAAGGATGGTAGGGTATCATTAAAAAATATGTTTTTGGCTTTTACCACTTCATTCTTAAAGAGGGTTGCAACATTCTGATATGCACACAACAAGTCCGGTTTATTGGACTGCTTTGCTTTGCGGAACAGTCGTTTCTTTTTATTTCGCAGGTGCTTTAAAGAAACAGTAAACCAAGGGCACCTGTTTTTGTACGGTATAATTCGTAGGGGTACGTATTTGTTTACAAGATAATTAACTTTGACTTTAAAAATAGACCAATTGGATTCTATAGTGCGATTAGAAAAATTCTGCATATATTCGTCCAGAAATTGCGCCAATTCATCATTGATGGCAGGGTAGTTAGCTTTGCTGTAATCGCGTATACGTTTAGGCATACTCTTAAGGCGATGAGAATTGCCTTCAAGTGTGAAGTGAACAAAGCAGTGGTCACTCAGGCCTGGTAAAAAACTTAGAGAATGAACGAGGTCAGGAGTAGTTGTGAGAACGAGATCCAATATGTTCGAACTTGACGCGGTGACCCTGGTAGGTTGAGTTATTAACTGAGAGAAATTAAAATCTGTGCACAAATTTATGAACTCAGATGTTTCACCGGAAAGGTCAGACGGAACAGGGCACATACCAGACCATAATATTTTCGGAAAGTTAAAATCACCTAATAAAAAAACTGGCGAGTGCGGAAATCTGACAACAAGGCTGTTTAAAACGTCATGAAGTTGTGCACAGAAAGTCAAGGAAGCGTTTGGTGGCCGATAACAGGCACAAAAGATCATGTCACGGTGATTAATTCGTACACACACGCATACCATTTCCAAGCATGATGCATGAGAGATATGATAAGAGTGCAGATTTTCTGCGACGGCTATTAATACACCTCCTCCCAATCTATTGACGCGATCAGACCGATAAATATTAAAGGTCTTCTCACACTCAAAAACTTCTTTGTTATCAATTTTGGCAGACAACCACGTTTCAGTTAGTATTATTACATCGGCGCTACACGTGTCGATTAATGCTGACAGTTCCTCTCGTTTGTTAACGACACTGCGGATATTTGAAAAAAGAAAAGGAATTTTACTAACGGGAATTACGGTGTTACGTGATAGTTACGATAATGGTACTTCATTGTCTACGACATTGCTTGAATTTTGACTTGCGTGAGCAGGTGATTCCTTGTTGGCGTATAACTCACAGACACTGTCTGATGAGGGACAATAGATGAAGCATTTTCTGTTAATGTACAACTTATTGTAGCGAATTGAAAACTGCTGATTACTAGCTTTCCCATATTCGAGCAGTTTCTTACGCGAGGTTCGAGTGGAAATGCAGAAGTCCTCACCAACACTAAAACCAAACGACTTCAACTTTGCCCTGGCTGCCAAAATAGAATCCCTTTCCTTTGAATTTGAAAACTTTGCAATTACCGGACGGCATTTATTGGGAAAGAACTTGCCCAACCTATGAGCGCGAGAGATCGCTTGATCAGATAGTTGCAAGTTCAAAGCAGACGAAACCACTTCAATTATTTGTTTCTCTGACTCAGCCCACGATTCTGATTGTTTGTCAGGAAAGCCGTGGAAAATTAAGTTTTCACGCCGAGATCTGTCTTCATAGTCATCTAAACGACGACTTAGAGCGACAGTTTCGTTCCGAACGGCGTCAGACACCGCACTAGCCACATAAAGGTCCGCGGAGTTGTCCGAGGGGAAGGCGAGCGCGTGTGGCGCGTGTACATACATTACCAGCATTCTCCTTGATGCTTGGGAAATTTAGCAATACGTCTATTGACCAACATAGAGAACAAGGTGTTTTATTTTAGTTCCACTAGGCAAATAGCGCTCACCAGATTCCATACACTATGTTTGACGTGTTGGATTTTCTGAACTAGGAACCTTTTTTTACCTGACATAACTGGGATAAATCGAACATTTAATATTAAATTACTGTAAAAAAAAAACAAAAAAAACTTTCACAATACCGTTTTTATGTTTTTTTACAGTAACTGTCGTCCTTGAGCAGTTTATATTCTGTTGTATGAAAACTCTGGTATATGTAAAACTCTTGCTTTAAAGATGTGGTGATTGGCATAATGTTTCGAGTTAAATCGTCTATGAAAACCTGCTACATTTACTTGGTGTCTTTGAAGCACATCATCCGCGAGCTTTTTGAGTCTACATGCCAAAGATATCTCGTGCAAACACTACCTTCACGAATGATGAACCCACTTACATTATCATTATCATCATTTATTAATTTCATGTGCTCAAGAACAACGAAATCGCCTTGATTACATTACAAAGCACATAAAAAGGACAACGCATTTCGAAATGTTGGTGCCCGCTCACGGATGTCGGTTTACAAGATTTTATGTGTTTGTTATGGAACAAGTTAACTGAAACATAGACAGTAGCAATACAAATCAAAAACTAATAAAGTTTGGAAATTCAAAATAGTTAACATCAAACTCGCCTTGCTCCAATCACTTGAATTTTCCGTGACCGCATTACGTCTCCCCGTCAATAGCGAGTTTTAGTAGACCGTGTTTCCCGCTCCGCTAAGCCCCTGCGCTACCCGGAACTCTACAGCCAAGGCCATCGGCGCGCACGCGCAGTGGCGGTTTCTTCGTAGCCGAGGGCGAGCGGAGGGGAAAACACGGTCTACTAAAACTCCCTAATAGCTATCACGAGGAGAGCGAACTGACCAAGTAATGCGTGTCTTGTTTTCCCAGACATGCAGCGAATTGGTGATGCCTCAGTGCTCTGACGGCGTGGACGACATGTTCCCGCCGAAAACGTGGGATGCGAAGAAGCTGGCCAAAAGGTGTCAACAGCGATTCGGGGTCACGCCAGATCCAGGAAGGCTTCGTATTCTCTACGGTGGTAGTGACATGGGCGGCATTACAAACCTCATTTTCACGTACGTCAAATGTCGTTTCCGGTTTACGAAGTTAAGTTTTGTTAGCTGAAATGAAAGATTTTAAAACTCCCGACGGATAAAAATTTAAAAAGAAATGTGCCAAATGAGCACCACCACGTACAACCCGGCATCGAATCGCTTAACGAATCAACCAGAAAACGTAGTAGCCATAACCATAGCCTCGTTTATACTCATGAGGCCTGGCAGTTCGACGACGGAGCCATAGAGTGCCCGGTTGCAGATTTGGAGCGCGAGGATCTGGAAGCACAGAACATTTTTCGGGGAACCTAGGGTGCCTACATGTCTGTCTGTCTGAGGGTGAAGACATCCATTGTTTTTCTGAAGGTGCCAGCGCGTGACGCTCTCGCGCACTCGGTGCGTGACTTGCGCGGTAAAATGGCGTCTATGCATTAGCCAAAGTTACGCGCTCGAGCTGAGTGACACCGGATTGCGCGCACTTGGAAATGCATAAAAAAACGATCGGGCGGAAAAATGCCTGGGATGCCACCACTCAAGCAAAAGTGCGTGTGTATGAGGGCACTCCAGGGGAACCTGGTCGTCAGCGCACAGCCTTTGAAGCGGCGAGTACCCGAAAGATGGCTTTTCAAACCCGACTAAAAAGAAGCGGTAGCGCGAGGAACGCGAGGAGCACGAGCGGACAATTTATCGCTCGCGAGAAGTGTGTTTCGGCGTGTCGCCGCAGCGGGGCGCCCGACACGTGGCTCTCCTCTCATGAGTTGTCTGCCGCTCCACCTTTTCAATTTCGGCGGCCGCGTCTCGTGGCAATCTGCCAGGCTTTGTCAGTATAAAAAAGGCTATGGCTGAAGTTTAAGGACATAAAAGCACGTGCTAGGGGTCGCGAATGGTCTAGAATTCGTATTTCTAAACAGGTAAGTGCCCATGGTGCCACATTGCATGTCCTTCGCGACACACTTTACGTTCTGCCAAACGTACCTGAGGGTTCCCAAAACGGGGGTGTGCACACGTCGTGTCATGTCACGGATGTCCACACCGATCGCGTGAAGCGACTTCAGCGCGACGTGCGCCTTGATATAGGTCTATTTGCGCATCGCAGGGGAGGAGTGTCTGAAGGTTAATGAGTGTGTGGGAGCTGCTGGCACATTTTTAACTTGTACTTAACTATAGAGCCATTTTCATGTTATCGATAGACCGCTCCACTTCTACAGAAATGATGATGACACTAATATTTTGGGAGAGCAGAGAATGCTTAATTATAATTGCGCATATGGTTTTTTTTCCAGATTCTGGTTGTTTTTACGGGATGATTTTACGATAGAATTGGCTACTTAATTAAATCGAGATTGTACAGGCCTAGTATTTTTCAAACCCTGAAATTCCGTAGGAGCAAGACAAGGTTTCCCTGAATCAGACTGTAGACACTTGTCAATCATCAGATAGAAACTCCTTTTGATTTAAACATTCGTAATAAAACTTAGTAAAACTTAATCGTAATAAAGGCTTAATAAATGACGGACACAAAAAAATCACGAAATGAGGATGAGATATACGAACAGGAAGACTGCCGAACTCAATATTTATCTATTGATAAAAAGTAAACAAACTGTCACACTCAATATCTATCTATTTGATAAAAAAATAAGGTTGAGGTACGTACCCACGTTTATCACAGAAGAGAAGTTAAAAAAAAAAAAAACGCTGTGCGTCTTAAATAAATACATATTTACATATCTGTGTAGGACAGCGTATTTTACCCAACTTTTAAAGATTTACTCCAGGGATAGTTTTAGCTACCCCAACTAACTGTATTTTCTGAATCACCGGTCTTTACCCTTTCTTGCATGCTATTTAGTATGGCGAAATTCAGAATAGTCATTGAGAAATCGGCAAGTTAACATTATGCCACAACCAACATTCTAATACACCCGCGCTTTTTTTAATGCCATAACGTCATGGGAGGGCAGGTTTGCAGATAGAGCCGGCAGTCTAAAAATGGACTATGCCGAGCCTTTGTTTCCTGCTGTTGCTCGGGTGCTGGAGCAAGTTCCTAAATGGTTCGTTCGACACCATGAAACTGCTTGTAATCAGTTAGGGACAAAGTCTACAGTCCAAAGAGGGAACCTCTGCCTTTCGCTGACATCACTTTTTGATTGTTGCCAGTAGTGACTTTATCTTTGAAAAGCACGGTGAAGACAAAAAATTGTAAATTCGATAACTTCTTGGAAATAATTTTATTTTTGCGTAATATATCGGTTACTATTCTATAGATGTTTGATGGTGTGTTTAGCAAATTTTCCGACAAATTGGGGTCTATGAAAAAAAAAAAACGCAAGTGTACCCCTTTGATATTAACCACGCAGCTTGGAATTGCAATAAAAAGAATGAAGTGTTTTCTTTTTTTTTTTCTTCTACGTTTTACAGGAACAATCAGAGGGACCCCTGGTACTACGGTGGCGTCCTTTCCGGAACAGAGTCCAGAGTGTCCATAGGCGTGCGCAACGCCGCTCATCTGTTGGACATGCGTGCACACAACGATCATGATCCGGTCTCCGTTGCGTGGGCCCGGACGAGGGCAAAGGGAACCTTGTGGCGCTGGCTGCACCCGCGGTTCGAATTTTTCGGATAGCCTCATATTTTCAGCCTTTTCCATTAAATTATTTATTATGGATGTCGATTTGGCTTTCTCTTAATCGTGATATATATTTAGATAGAAATTCGCAACATTCCGGAAGGCGAAATGGTGTTTCTTGTTAACTATTTGTCGTGACTCTGTATGAAAAAAAGAAAACAATATATATATACAGAGTAAAGTAGCATTTAGCCAAGATAATTATACAGAGCAGTCTTGAGTAGTAACTAGCTACTAGTAAGTAACGCATTACCGATAACTAGTTACTTTTCTTCCGTAACTGTTAACTCTAACTCTTTACTGCTTAGTGAAAAGAACTTTTACCAGTAACAGGGTTATTATTTTTCAAAAGTAACTGTAGAAAGTACCGTCGTTAAAGTTACTTCTCAGATTTATGTGCGAAAATATTGCAAACACGACCACCAACTCGTCTCACAACTCGTGATAGAGTCCCAAGTCCTGGCACGGGAAGGGCCCTGCAAAAACTACGGCAGAAAACGTGTGAAGTACGAGAGGAAAAAAAAATAAAGATATAAAGATACTAAATTTTGGGTGACCCTGCATGTCCATGCTGGTCCCGCCAACATGGAGCAGGGAACGTTTGTGTCCGTACCAGCCGTGTATGGTACATCGCCCACAGCGCACGCAGATGCAACAAAGCGCGGCATGTCTAAAGCATTTTCCTTTTTTTCGTCCGGCGAAGGGAGCGAGTCCTTTTGGCAGAGGACAGTTTTTGGTGTTTGTTGCCCCAAACGCCCGCAGGCTTACGGCACAACCGATTTTTCGAACCTCGACTTCTTGTCGCCAAGCCATGCGTTTCCTTCCCCTCTATTTTGAATCGTCTAACTCCTAGATGCACCCTTGCGGGGTCTCGACTTCAGGGCCAGTTTCTCTCCCTTTTTTTTATGTATTTTTGCAACCCAATTACCGGCATTTCCTCTCCGTCACCAACTCGTTGTCCCTTCTCCGGTCCCGTCATTTGAGAGAGAGTATTTGCTCGAAACGTGTGTGTGTTTTCTTGAAATCAAAAGACCGCCCTTAGTCGGGACCGGGAACGGTTGGCATCAGTTGATTTATAGATATTCAGGTTGTGGGCCTTCCGGGTGGCCTCTTCTATTTCGGGTCGGTTGTGAGGTGGAGGGGCACAAATATGTTTGATCTGGTTAGGAACTGGCGGAGCCTATCACCAGCATTCCGGGACAAGCTCTCGTTGCGCCCTCTGTTGGCTATTCGCAGCAAAACGCAGTAAGATGATAATTTCAGGCAAACTACTGCAGAAATTCTTAAGCTCCTCGGGATATCTATAAACGGAAATAATCAACTCTACTTTTATACCTACTTCAACCTCAGGATTGTAGACTTTTTTTATTCCTGGGCCCCACATAATTTTTTCACTTTTGTTCCTATGGGCCACTTTGAGAAACTTTTGAATCTATTTTGACTGAAATGAAGAATCGTAATGCTCCTGAGGAATATAATATCTGCGAACCCCCAGCACACGCCGCAGTTAAACGTTCGGCATTTCGGTGTTTCGATTACGCCCCCTGAACGGTACCCAGCTGACCTCACTGTTTTTTTGTTTTCTTTTCTTTTTCTTATTTGTCACAAGGACATTTTTTTAACAACAAAAAGCACACTCTGTGTTGAACATAACGGGTGTTTGCGACATCAAAGAGTAGGTGACCTCATTATTCGGACCGCACATTTTTTGAACACATGCGTTTTTTAACACACGCCCATTTTCGTGACTTTTGCGACTGTCACGACAGATTGAATCGTCAGGCTGAACATGTTGAGGAGCGCCGACAGCCACAAAGTGCGCATTTAACGTATTTGCTATATGTTCATCCATCAGCGCCTCATTGTAAAATTGAACTTTTCTTTTCGAGGTATGTTTAGAAATTATCTCGTTTACTGTTTGCCATATCATGCGGTGATCTCCCATAACCTCTAAAAATTCGTTAATGTAATATTCGCATTTTGCTTTTTTAATATCAGAGTTTAGTTTATTTCGGACTTTCTTAAATATGCCAAGGTCACTTTCGCTTCTCGATTTTAGAAGTATTTGAAACAGCTTGTTGCGACTTTTAATTCTTTCATATAATTTATGATATATCCATAGTTTTCGAGTTTTCTTATGCTTTTTATGTGTCTTTAAGGAAAAAGAGGTGTTGTGCGCGGACTCAAAGCAGGATAAAAAAAAAACAACCTCATAGGCTGTGTTTGCATCAGTTTCTCTCAAAACAAAATCCCAATCTAGGCAAGAAATAAGAACTTTGAAATGCTGAATATTTCGTACCGAATAGTCCTAACCAGCTTGTTCTCTTTATCATTGCGCAGTTGGTTAACAGGTAGTAAAAAGCATATTGGCAAATGACCACTAATATCGCACGTCAATACTCCTAATTTCAAATCCTCAATAGGAAGATTTGTGATACATAGGTAAAGTGTTGTCTTAGAAGTCGAGGTGATTCTAGTTAGTACAGCTATTGTATTTGTGCAACCATGAGGTTCAAATATCTCTTGAAAACGCAAATATGTTACAGTGTGCTCTGAAGCATTTATGTTAAGATCACCAACAAGAACAACCTGTAACTTCAGTTCTATGCTCTGTTCAAGCAATGTTTCTGAGAAATGCAGGAAATGATTTACGGATCCAGATGGAGGACGGCACAAGAGAGTGAACAAAATATCACAGCATTAGATCACAATGCACTCAACGTTGTCATTTGTAAGGTTGTATTCAGGAACCATTTTATATGATAGCTCTGAGCAAATATAAATAGCAACACCCCCGCCGGCCCTTCTTGAGCGGCGCGCTGTCGTAACCAGCCAGCTGGACACACTCATCAGATGTAAATTACGTTTCACTACAATAGGTTGTCGAACCATTGATTTAACTCAGATAAAAAAAAATATTTACCTCGTCAAACTTTTTTCGCAAGCTTCTTGCATTCAAATAAAAAAGAAAAGATTATTGATTTTTCAAAGATGCGATATCACAAGAAAGATTAAGCACAAAAATAACAAAAGTTTAGACGTTCTTTCGTACGAGTTACTTTAGAGTGGTAAGATCATCCTCATCACAAATAACCACTGCTCATTCACCATTTTTTTTTCGGACTAGCACTTTCCCCCCATTCGCATGTCAAACAAACGTGCCTCCTGATTTCTGCGACCATTCCTTCGTCATCAACAGGAGAGTGTGGAAGAGCCGAGTCATGTTTGTACAAATATACACGTTTGCATTTTTTTTCTTTAGTGACTGTTTTTTTGAAGCCAAGAATCGCGAAGCTCCTGACACGTAAAGCGAACGATAACGCCTCGTGTTTCACCCGGTTTTGCTGGGAGTCTGTGCAAAGCTCCAATGTCACTTTGGGCTACAGGTCGAATTTCCAGCTTTGTGTGCAGTTCGTTCATTTCTTTCATCAGGTCTTCATCTTGTGCTTCTGAGGTGCCGTGAATTTTACTGTTTAAACGACGGCTCTGTCTTTCAATGTTATCCAAATCTAACGGGAGCTGAGCGAGTTCCTTTGGCGAGGAGACGTTTTCCGGCAGGTCTACTCGTATAACCAGTTTTATTAGTGGAGTTTTTCTGCGCACGTAAACGCCTTTGAAGGTCGTCAAAAAACGTGTCTGAAAGTACTTGTGCAGACTTTTCGAGTCCACCGATCGCGCTGGGCAAGGTCATGAGAGTATCGAGCTTATTGCTTATTTCCATCAAGAGTATAGAGAAGTCGATTGCGGATTTCTGCGTTTTTGTTCTTCGTTCACTTTTTTGCGTTCTACGCAGTCTACACTTCCATGTTTTTCTAAAATCCCCAGGTTTTACTTGCAGTGTTTCTTCGGTTTAAACAGAGCATTCACATCGACAGAACGTGAAATTACATTCAGAGCAGCGCATATACGATCCATTCTTAGGAATAAATAGCCGGCATGCGCAACAGCGTGTCATGACAAAATACACAACAGACAAAGGACATCTTCAGGCAACGCACTGTGATAGCAGCAGCAGAGAGACTAATAGTAATAAAAAGGTGAGAAACGGAATTTAACCAACCTGCAAAACACAGGAGCATAAGTATGAGCTGACATATCGTCAGCTTGCTGCCGCTGCCGCCAAATGCGACCGGGCACTCTGTGGCTCCGTCGCGGAACTGCCAGGCTTTGTGAGTCTGAGGAGGCTATGATTCAGCTATGTGCGCTGTCCGCCACGCGATCGAAGATTTGATGCTGAAGTGCGAGCTTGCACCATACCCTCAACGATCGGGTTTAAATTTAGCACACTTGGGGCGGTTTACTTTACTAGGTCCGCGAATTGTATAGAGAAACCCTTTGACGAAACATACATCTTTCCAACGCGCGCGTATAAGAACGGGGACGTGGCTATACCACGACCAACTTTTAAACTCACAAATTCCTTATAATCAGGTACAAAACGAGCGTGTTGGTAACGGTAATGAAACATGAGGAAGATACATAGAAAGGAGGAACGAACAACTATGACTTCCAACTAGCAACAACATTTATTGACCCGACGTTTGCATATTGCCGCGCGCCAAGTAGGCAGCGCGGCCGTAGCCTAAAGGCGCGTTCACACTCTTGCAACCGAGTACGACCGAGAAAGACTTCTTGGGACCGGATGCACTGAGCGGAGCTGGTCCTAAGAGATCGCAAGAGGCTTAAAAACCGGTTTGGTCTCTCTCGGTCGCACTCGGTTGCAAGAGTGTGAACGGGCCTTAACGGTTATCGCGCTTGCCTCCCACGCGAAGGGCCAGGGTTCGATTCCTGGCCGCGGCTATGCATCTTTGTTGACACTGTAATGTGATGTTCTGGTGAAATCGAGAACCGTCTAGCCGATTCGAGGTCAGAATGTTCTACGCGTCGAACCTTTTACGTCGAATGCTCCAGAAGCCAACGTGTGTACAAAAGCGGCTCCGCGGGCAAGCCGGAGTCAGTTTCGCCCCAGCGTTCGACTGTGCTGCTACGCCGACTTCGAACG